ATCCAAGACTGATTAGCATCTTTCATTTGTAAGTAGTACCAAAAACAACTTGGAAGTTCTGTAAAATGCACATCCATTATTGTATTCCTGTAACCACAAGTATCCAAGTAAGTGATAAACAAAACATCATTATCAAATTCACATATTCTGCAAGAATGCATATATCATAACTTGACATATTGATTTTTATTTTGAATCTACTGTTCTCATTTGAATTCTTTAAAACTTATAGATCACTCTTAAAGACAAAAAGTTACCAAACAATTCCTACTTTATATCCGTTAACAATGATTTTTTTCCATTAAGTCCATCCATGTTTGCCCTTCAACACATTTTTATAATTTTATAAATTGTAGAAAATACCAAATTTCAGAAATGCGGCCTATACAGTATCTGAAGAAATATATACATATATGTTTTTGTGATGACAATAATAGTTTGAGCCTTTACTATTATAATTAGTGACAACAAGAGTTTAGGTTTCTTTACAACCAACGGGAATTAAATATCTGGATTTTCTCATAATACCAAACCTATATTTTGTTTATCAATTACTTGGAACAATTTTTCATTAAACACCTTAAAACCAAAATAGATTTCTATCTTTGTATCACATTACATGAACTCTTTTTCACTGCATGTTTCACCTAAAAAATACCTATTAAAAATGTTACTTTCTACAAAACCTTTGACAGGAGAATCCAGAGCTCTGCTACTGGAACATTTACATCTAAAGAAACAGGGTATCGCATTCAAATTTTTCACATAGGCACTTTATGCTGGTGTCTCCACTAAAACTTTCTATTTCGAGTCTCAAATATAATATCTAAACCACAAAACTAAGGTAAATAACCAATAAATATATAATTCAAATTGCTTCTCAATACTTGCTAAATGTTATATATGCAATAACGATTTTTCATTGTTTCCTTTGAAAATAGTGCCACTCCACATAAACTACATTTGCTGAACATTTTAGAATTTTAATATCAGACTTCAGGGTTGCTACTTGACAAGGTTAAGATGCATCCACACTGGAATGTCCATGTGAACCCTGGTCATGATAAATGTTTATAAATAGGGTTGGAGATATTAATGGACAAAAACTCATGTTTGTTAATATTATGACTAAACAAATATTTGCAATCTTTTAAAAAATAATACTTATGTCACTTTCACACATTTATGAAGACAAATTTCTGTACAAAAGAATCTTTATAAAATGAAATACACTCAGTGCTCATTATAAAGGAATCTCCATTACAGACTATCATTTTACCAGACCAAACTATTCTATCAGGAAAGTTTATGTTACACTTTACAATAATTGTTGGCTTAATCATAATGAAAATATTAATATCTCTAAATATTTTTAAAGCTTTTTAATGCAGCTAGACATTTAAAAATTTTCAAAAGAAAAAATAATGTTTTGCTCTTATTTATAACAGTATGTTGATTTGTAACAAAAACTTTAATGATACCCATTTAAATATTTTAAATTATGTAAATAAACTTTAATGTAAATGTGCTTTACATTATTTTAAATTTTACACAAATCTAGTGTGAACTTATCTTCAAACTTTATCTATAATAATCATGTTATCAGAACAATATAATTTACAACACTAACAATAAAAGATCATCGGCTTAAAAAACAACCATGATAAGACAAAATTTACAAGTTCTGAGTCCGCTATTCTGAATTTTATTAAATATCTCACACAAACAAGTCTACTTTTTGTTCAAAATAGCTTTTTTCTTTCTTTCTTATACATTATATATTAAGAGCATTTCCCATTACTTTCTTAAGTGGATTCGGTTTTCTCAAAACAAACTATTTACCGTGTTTTTAGTAAGCCAATGATATCAATTACGCTACTTCTAATTTGCAACACAGCCTCAAAAAATATTAAATGAACACATTTAACAATAAATTTCTTCTGCCTTAAAATTGTTCTTTTTGCAAAACAATACCATATAATCACAAATAGTAGCCTTTTATTTCACATTATTGCTGTTGGAAAATACCTTTACTAATATTGTTTCCATACAATGAAAAAGTTGGTTTTTCTAGTAAACGTAAAGAAAATTAGTTGGAATTAAAAAAAAGGAGTATTACTAAACTTTAAATAAATATTTGAAATACACTAAATATTCTGGTAGCATGTTCTTCAATTAATTTTACAATAGTTCTATTTACTTCTCAAAAACAAATAAAAAACTTCATTTCTCACATTAAATTCTTATTTTATTCTAATCTATTTCTGATGAATCAGCAAAGTTGTACTGAACTTAATTGCTCCTGTTATCACCTCCATACAAAGTTTCCAAAAATAATTATATTTTTGCACTATCAGAAACCAATTTATCTTTAATTTGTTTTCTAAAATATATTAGATGGTAAATATTAATGATACCTTTTTTCTTAAAGGTTTTTGGCATATTAAAATGAATTAAAAGGCAAAGCTTTTTACGATTACATGGTATTTTCCAATACGATTTATTCATACACAGAAACTACATGAGTACTTTATTTTGTTTAAACAAATCAGTCAGTGAATATCTTTGGTCTTGAAACCATAAGTCCAACAATAGAAACTCTGCATTTTCTAAATATTCAGCCAGAAAGCTGTAAGAAAATGCCTTTGGCATTTGACTAAAATGAACTTAATGTGACACGAATACAAGACAAATCTAGTAAAACCTGTACACAAAACATTACGTTTTTTATGTCTAAGGAGCATTGTGTTTAACTATTTATAGGGAGATTTTAGAGGTTTAGATGTTAGAGGATATCAACAGTTTCAAGAGACAATAAATAAATATATTCAGATAAATAAAATTAATCATTGCAGCAAGTAAACATTAGAAGGAATTATGAAAGATTGCACTGGAAGACACCTTCAATCTTCAAAGGTTAAGATGTAATGCATTAAAAAATAATTGAAATAAACAACAAATCACAGAAAGGGAAACAATTTATTTGAGTATTGAAGGCAAATGCGTATTTAATGACAAGACAGTTACTAAACCAATTAACAAAATGCCTTCAATGTTCCCCATTAATGACATGTAACTTAATTGTTTCAATCACAACAACAAATTAAAACTATTTTCTGAAGATATGCTGAAAGAACTACATGTAAGAGAAGAGTAGCACAAATATAGTTGGTGTTGATTTTAAAGCTTCCTTGTTTTCATCTATATAAAGTTGAATGAGAGTATTGCTTATTTTCAAAATGTTCCTGCTCGTAGTGTTTCAGAATGCTAGAATGAGACTTAATTTAGGGAAAAAGCAATTAACAATGAGGAAACATTCAAAAATCAAAAGGGGTTAGTATGAATCTTTAGTAAACAAAATCTCTGAAACAAATACTCCTCAATTGACCACCTTTCTTGGTAAAGATCACAAGCTGCATGGGCAACTCTGATTCCAGCACGGCTAAAAGGGCATCTACACATGGTGCAAGATATAATCTTGTGTCATGGACTTAGAAAGATTAGGAGCATTTTCACTTGTGGATGTTATTGCATGTTATGTGGTAATTGCTGACAAATCTAACAACAATATCCACGTTCTTTTATTAGGTTTTTTAGGTGAGTGGTGCAACAATACTAAAACGAGATCATCTGTCATTAACACCAAAGGTGTGGTGATTTCACATTAAATGGCAGATGGAACATTGCCAAGTGCCAATTATTACAGAGGGCAATTCGATTTTGAACCATGAATCGGGGCTTCAATTATCCATGACGACATTTCAGCAAAAAAAAATTAGGAAAGCATTTGTTTTGAAATTATCAAAATAACTTTATACTGGCTATACAAATATTCAGAGGCTTAAGAAATTAGGCAATATGACAGAATGTATCATCTACTCAAATATGTTGAAATTTCATTGCCACATGATAATGTAAGTGTAATGGTAAGACACGTAACACTTTACATGCACAAAAATGGAGACAGAATTATGAAACAGTGAGTGACAAGCAATCACACAATTAAGTGTGTCATTTGTGCTATTTCCCCAGGGTCATCATTTTGGTATGAGAAAGGTGTAAAATGTTTCAAGACCACCATCCATAGCAATTTTAAATCATGCAAAGGGGGAACAACTGCCAGGCAACATTACAGCAAAAGGAAATTGGTGGATCATTGTGTCATTTATCTACATATCTGAAAATGCACTTTGGGAGGAAGAACTCCATATTTTTTCTGACAATCTAGAATCTTTCTTGAATATATTCATGATGAAAACACAGTTCAAAGAATCTTAAAATTTTCCGGCAAATATACATGATCCTGCAAAATATTTTCCCATCCCTTTTCTAGAAACTCTTTCCTATCTTTTATACCTAAGCATTAGTATCACTTCAAATTTAAGAAGTAACTTTTCCCAAAATGTGGATACTGAAAAATTATGGACTTTGCACTAAAGCATTTCAAGTGTGGAGAATTACAATTGGGAATGGATAGTCTGTTTCAACTTAAACTTTTTCCTTGAGATTTTTTCTTGCAACAATAAAGGAGACTAATTTATTGAGTAAAGCTGAAAAACAGAACCCAAAGTTGAAAAGTTTACTTTTGTGTAATTTGAAATGAAGAGATCAGATTCAGCCAACACATTAAAATGATAAATGTTAAAAAAATAGTGACATTATTCATATGACACTTCTCACTATACCTTATTATATACAAAAGAGCACTTGAAACTGGAAGAGATTTTTATCTCAAAGTTGGAGCAATAATAAGGGTGAATCTTAGATTTGATGGACTCTTGAATATAGCACAAATTTTCTTTATAAAATGCTGAAAGCTAGGTGATATTTTTCATTTTTTATCTTGGAAGCATACATACTATTTTTGTATTGACTCAAAACATTTTAGGTTGAACACATTCACCTCACATGTACAATATTCTCAACTATCACCACACGAAGAAATCTGATGCTTACTTACAGCTTATTTACATTTATATTTAACAAATACATTGATATTTTTGAAATTTCAATGTATCCAAATTTCATACAAATTGAAAAATGCATGACTCCTTCAAGTTTTTCTGAAATAGTTATAGTTTGCTATGAACAATTATTGTTTTCAAGTTCACATTCATGGATTGTTGGTAGACATACAAAGGAAGTTATGGGTAGAATTGTCAAAAATGAAGATTGGGTAGTAATGTAATTGAAAAATATTCCCTTTTCAATTTATAACCTAGCAATAATTATTTTTATGTTTAAGTGAATAAAATCATGTATGTTTTTTTATGATTAGGACTTTCTTTGCTTATTTTTTGCAGAGACTGATACATGAAAGCAAAAATACAATAATGTGAGTGCACTGGAGACAATAATTTTGACTACAAAATGTAAACAAATTTGTTCTAGCCTTGGTGACCATGAAGAAGACTATATTCTTAACAGTGAGTTAAACAGGTTTATGAAAATGTAATTCAAATGTACTTGTATGTTGTAGTGGACTGCTGTAGGATATCCTGCTATTCATCTTAATTTAAGAATGTAATATATCACTTTTAATTATAATCACTGAAAAGTTTTCATTTTAGTTACAGATGATTGCTGGACACTGCTTTAATTTACTTAGACTCTCTAAGCTTTGCATTTAAAAATAGTCAATTTCTGAACTTGTATCTTAGCTTTGCAACTTCACAGAGCAAGGATGTCTTTGTATTGTTGTTCCGTTGTAGATGGTCTTCAAAATGACATAATGAATAAATGATGGCAAATAAGTGTTCATTCAATTTAATCTGGGGCCTACCAGCTTTCATTAAAGAAAAAAATACAAAATTTAGTAAACAGCTGAAATTGCTTTTTAATTAAAAAAATCCTGAGTGTTTTAAATATAAAGATAAACTCTGTTGACATTACTGTTATAGCAATGAATAGTGTTAAATGCCACTGAGAATAATAGATTCAGTGTTGCAAAGCACATTATTGTCCATGTGTGCATCAAAAAGGTCAATTTTACTCACAGGGATTAATTTTATAAATTTGATTAAACCATTTTCATAATAATTGTTTTACTTAACTATTATAAGTAGTGTGGTAAAGTTGGCTGGCTTCATGGAACTAGGGTTTGGGCAAGCGAGTTTATGGACACAAAGGCAGTTGGTTTGAATCCTGCGCAAGACATGGATGTTTACAGATGGTTTGTGTCAGGAAGGACCTTCCCACTCCCCAGTGTATCACATCACAACTCTTACCCCTTTCAGATTTTATTTACTTATTTTTTTAATGATTTTTTCTGAATCCCTGAAGGTTTTTTAAATATTTAAAATACTGACTTGAATTCCTGATTTGTACTCATGTATACTCATTTCAGTCCTGATAATTTCCTGATTTTCTTATAATCAGTTCTTGATTTTCTAAATTTAGCATCCTCATTTGAGTACAGTGGATCTGAAAAAGCTAATCTTTCCATAACTCCTTTCCCTGACTGGTCTGTGAGTCTGTGAGATTTGTGATCAATCTGACTGTGTGCGTAATTGAAGGACTGGCTTCTTACACCTAAAACAATGGTACAAACACCAAGGTGGGCCCACATGCTGCCATTGGCATATATGTACTGGAGCAGAAATGAGATGGACCTCAGGACTCCCTCAGAATATTTGGCAAGCTCAACTGGCTCAAGGCTTCACTGAGAAGTGTCCACAAGGGAACAGTAAAGAGTGGCCTCATTTTGTGGAACAAATTTCTCTGACTTTTCCCAATTTTCCAGTGCATATTTTTAATTTTTCACTGAAAGATTTGCAAAGTATTTCACACTATTAAAAAAAGAAATATTAAAGTAAGCCCAGCTACTGAATTTGTCAGCTCTCAGATTTCACTGTGATAAAGTACAAATTTCAATAACAAATAAAAATCGAGTCACTCTTTTTGCTAAAATATTTTTTCAAGGGTTAATATTTAGTTATACAACTGTCTCACAATTTTTACCGACTTATAATGTTTCTTCTACGAATTCCCTAATTTCCCCGTTTTCCAGGAAGTGTCCATCTTATCAGGACTATCTCAGCATGATATTTCGGGAGCTCAAGGGGGCCTTTCACCAAGAATTGTCCCCAGGGGAATATAAGTTTCTATGGGAAGCCTTAGGGTATCCCTCGGGAAGAGGCAGATTTATGCATAGACACAGGCGGCACATGCTTAAAGCAGCAAAAGTTTAGGGGCAACAAAAATTGTGAACCCAAACTTGGTCTAAAGAGCCTCTTCTTCACAACATGTGATTTTTCTTTCCTTTTTATCTGTATTTATAAGAGTTTAAAAAATAATTAAATACTTGAAAATTAATTTATTAACAACTTAATAATACCTTCTGCTAAATGATTTGTGAGAAGTCATAATGAGAGATGTTTACATTTTCAGAAGTCACATAATTAAAGATTTAATTAGAATTACTGAAAAGGAGTCATGCTGCATCGATATAAATTATTCATTCAATAAAATTTAGAAATAACATATATTTAAATACATGTAATTTTGATAATTTGCTCCAAGATATCTTATTTCATTTGTATTTTCTAGTGTTAAATGTAGACATCTAAGTAATTTTAAGAATTAGCGGCAGAACAACAGTAGAGTAATAAATATGCATAACTACAAAAGGCCAAAAACATGATGAATTTATGTTATTTCTATACATCAAAATATATTATTTAAAAATTAATTGATTTCCCACAGAAAAAATTGATCACAAATAAATTATTCATTAAATTCATTTTAATTTTAGTCTTAAATATGTGTGTCCAATTTTTGAACATAAATCATACTTGTTATTAAGCCCTACATGTAACTTTTTCCTGGCTTATTTGAAAAAAATTGACAGCAATTTTTGCATGCTTTCAGATGACAAACTTGTTAATCCGTGCCCTCAAGAGCTGTTTTTGACTAGCATGGGGGGACAAAACTGAAAAGGTCGTCTTGAATTAAAACAAAGGAGAACTAACTAGTACAAAAAAGTCTATTTTGTGACTTCACATTAACACATCACAACATTTTTCAGACATAAGAAAAGGTAAATCACTCAGCAGTGGGTAAAATACCTCATTTTTTTACACATTTAATATTTTTGCGTACTAGCTGATTAAATTTTCCATGAGAGCGTTCTGTGGAGAAAGAGAGAAATGTTTAGGTCTGATGCAAAATTATTTGGTTGTTTCCTGCTACCTTGTTCAAAAGTTGAACCAGAAGATCTATTTCAGAAGTTTTTTTATTAAATTTAATCAGACATATTACTTAGGTTTCTGGAAGCCTTCAGAATTACAAAATGAAGATGTTGTACCCTTGGTTAGTGGATAATTACAGTGTATACAATGATCCCAAAATGTGAAATAAAAACATTTTATGTCAGCTGTGCTTTGCACATTCGAATCATGAATTTCTTGAAGTGTTTGGTGAGTTATAAACAAGAATACTGTTTAGAAAGAAATATATTAATATTATTATATATCAGTCCCTGCTATTTCTCCAGTTGAAACTTACCGGACTACTCACAAAAAAGGATCCCTATATTAATTTTGAAGGAGAATTTGAAGAAAATTAAAAAGAAAAAGGAAGGAATGGAAACAAAGGAAGACAAAAATGGTGATAGATTATAGGCAAAGTTGTGAGTCATGTTGAGACTGAAGAAGATACTGTTGAACAAGCAAACAACTACAGTGTAGGTCAACATTTAAAAATTATTTTTAACCGCTAACAAGTTCAAATCTCCAAGACACGAAAATTCTTCACAATTTCTCAAAGTCGGCTAGCACTTGTATCCTCAGTCCGTTGATCATCATACCTGTTCCAGGTAAAGGCCTGTCTCAGAGTTGTGCTTCACATTCCTGTGCATCAGGTTGGCACTGCTGCCCCTGGGGATGCTGCTTATCTTCCTCCTGGTGCAGACTGTGTAGCTGCGCTTGCGACTGAGGCTGCTTCTGTTCTTGGGCATGGTGTGTCGCCTTCATGTGGTAGACCAGGTTGCCCCGCTTGTTAAAGACTTTGCCACACAGCTGGCACGGGAAGGACTTGTCCTCACAGTGGATCTTCTTGTGCGTGTTCAAATACCAGTGGAAGTGAAAGCTCTTGCCACACACATCACAAGAGTAGGGCTTGTGGTCACTGTGAGACTTGAGGTGCTTCTGAAGCATGGCCTTGTCGCTGTAGCTCTTGGTGCATATGCCGCAGGCGTGTGGCCGATCGCCTGTGTGCGAGCGCTGGTGCTTAATAAGGTCCGCCCTGCGCCCAAACTCACGTCCACACTCCTCACAGGGAAATCTCTCCCCACTGTGTACCTGAAATCATCACATTTGATCACACAGTGTTGTAATTGAAAGTAAATAACTTTTCATTCCTGTATTTCTTTATATTCCTACGGTCTTATTTATTTATTAAATTAATACTCTTTTATTATATTGAACATTGGCAGTTTTTTGGCACTCCAGAGCCATGCTGTACTGTGGTATGTATAATATTGATATGTGACCCAACCCATTATTTATATAAATGATACACATTGTATATATAAATGATATGCAAGTCATAAGTATGGACTCAAGATAATTTTTAAATCAAGAAGATATTTTTCTGTAACTTTTTCTCTCGTCACTCACTTTTAGATTAACCATCACCCGTTAGATCTCTACTTACTACACTACCACTTTGCAGCATGAAATGAAATCCAACTTTTCACACAGTTAAATTTTTGTTATCAATGGATCATAACTACCTTGTGTTCTCTCCTGTTAATCAAAAATAAAAAATGACTAATTTCAAGACTATCAGAAAATTTGAAAGCAATATGACCTTTAAATATGTATGTGTTATCTTTATGCACATGGTTTTCTGAGAAGTTCATGGCCAGTATCAAAATTATACACATGCCACTCTCAATGTCAATTCTGGACACTCAAAATCAATTCTCATTGTATATAAACACTTTTACAGCAGAAAGTCAACTTTGTATTAGAATTTGAGTTATGATTACTTATTTTCAATGTTCTTTGGCAAAGCATTGCCAAATACAGTACAAAAGATGTATTACAATTTAAATTGAAATTGAATTTATCTATCTTTTAAACAAAAAGTTCTTTCACATCTAAAAGCTTAAATCAGAAGGGAAGTGGTCAGACACGACAGCTATGTATCACCAACAATGAAAGCCATCAGAGATGGATTGTATACCCAAAATGTGTTGTTCTTGGTATAAAAGAATTATTTCAATGTCCTACGATCACCACTAACTAGAACTACAAAGAATAAATAGAAAGTCAGTTATGTGATTTCTTACAACTCGGATAATAGAAATCACTGAAAATTCTTTCAAAATAGCAAAAAGTAAAAGAACCCTAAAAATGAATTCATGCAATAAAACAGAACAATTTCACGATCATGTTAAGCCTTGTGACTGGTTCAGACAAAGTAATACTGAATTTGTAGTAAAATTTTGAATACCTTACTAGAACCACAGAAACAGATGTTCTTGGAAAACAGGTAAGTGATTCACTCAAGTGCAAAAGAAAAAAAAAATCTTAAAACTTTTAATGAAGCAGATTAATTTGACTGAAAGTTTTAGAAAACAAGCACATCAACATTTAGTGAACCTTCAAGTATTACAAGATTTCATTCCATGGTATAATTTGTTATTAAGTTCTTCTAGACAAGCATCTCACCTTCAGATGGATGTTGAGGTTGGTTTTCCATTTAAAAGACTTTCCGCATGTGTCACAGGTATACGGTGTGTCCTGTGAGTGCACACGACGATGGTCTGTGAGGTGGGAGCGCACACGAAAGCTGCGGTTGCAGATCAGACACACAAAAGGACGCTCCCCCGAGTGAGTGCGGACGTGCGACTCCAAGTTGCGCTTATCGCCAAAGGCCTTGCCACATGTTGGGCACGGATAGGGTCGTTCACCTGTGTGTGTGCGCCTGTGGCGCTCAAGTTTTCCCCGCACACTGAATGCCTTGTTGCAGTACTCGCAAGAGAACAACCCAGTATGTATGCGCTGATGCAATGTGAGATCCCATTTCAGCACAAACCTACAAGGCAGAAAATTGAATTGTGATATTGAAAATCAACCAAAAGGTAGTTACCAGAAAAAAGGGAATTTAGAAACTGCTATTCATTTATAGGATATCAATAAGCTTCCTATGAGCACATTAGAAGATAACATTTGTTATTACTTAAAGAAAGACATTTTAAAGTGAAGTAATGTAATTAAATAATGTAAAGAAATGTAATTAATACAACATTTTAAATACTTAATCATACTCTTTACCATTACATCTGTTGAGAATACTTTTTGCAACTAGATATTATTTTATTTATTTATTGATACAACAGACACACCCCGGAAGCAGAGGTATTTGAGGGGGGGAAAAAAGGTAGCTCACCGCTTTCCACACTGATCACACTGATGAGGTCGAATTTGAGTATGCACAGCCATGTGGACATTGAGGTTGGTCCGTCTCATGAAGGATTTTCCACAGACACTGCATGGAAACGGTTTCTCCCTCTTTGAACTTGAAGTCACTTCGCCACTGCTGGTTTCCTTATACCTGCACAACAAACTCTTATTTCAGAATACTTTGTATTAACAACTGATTTCACTCATTCCACTATTCTGAGTAATTAACAAAAAAGTAAGATAGAAATCACCTAATTTTTCAATGTTACACCCAAAAATCCCTCTAAAATTTGCCAACATGAAAAAATTAAGTAATGAAATTGTTTACCTTAAAATGTAGAGAAGAGGATAAGGTAAAATCTTGCAGAAAACACTGATAAAGTACTTACATGACAATATTTTGTTTCAGCTGTAATCTACCTATTAACGCAACTGAAGGAACTTGGGAAAACAAGCACCTACACTGCAAGTACTGAAGGCATAATTCACTAATTCACTATTAACTGTTTAAATATTTGATAGTTGTATCTTACATTCTCGGTTTTGTAGGTATTGTAGTTAACTGAATATGTTTTTGCATAAATTCTTCCCCCTTTCATTCAAATTGTTTTTTGCTATTTCCTACCTCCCCCCTAGGTGCTGGGCAAATAATTTTCATTACTTTTACAATTTTGTTTGGAACTGACTTTTATAGAGGCAAAGGTAGAAAAAGGGTTCTTTTATAGTCGATTGATTACTTGGGGTTTCTAGGCACATCAACTGCTACAGACTTGTAGATATAGCACATTTTTTTATTGTGGAAGGTGGTGGTGTTAACCTCCCACTGGCTGGCAAGTTCCAGCGCTGACCTATATGTCAGGTTGTAAGATTTTCCAGGAATGTCCCATCAGCAGGGTACCGCCTCACCCGGGATAAGCTCTAAGCTCCTGACTGGTCTCCTGACACATGTGGTAGTAAAGTGAACGTAAATGTAAGTGTGCCATGGATGAGGATAGGACGTGGAAGAGGAAGGAAAGATCATGCAGGGTCCATGGCTCATTTGTTAGGGTACTGCTCTGGCATTCACCTGGTGTTCATCAGAGAAGCTAAGAAAACTACTGATCAGAGTACCCAGCTGCAAGAATTTGTCTCTAGATAGTTGCGGAATCCGACCTAGTATTATGTCGAAAATCCTGGGAGAATCATTGAGACTAAAACCCTAGGACCTTCTGGGCACAGGCACTGCAGCGACATCAGTCAATGCCCTGAGCCACCTAAACCAGTGGATCCTAATATAAGGCAAAGGGAAGTTAGCTAGTATCAGACCAACCTACATAAGAGATCTAGTGAATATGAAGACTAAAAATTAAATTGAAAATTGCTTCATTTCGCTGGGTGACATACAAGTTGATACTTACGTTTCTGCTTTGAACATTCATATTACACTTTATTTGAACACTAAACAGTGGGAATAACTAATATAAATTAACTATCTCTATAGTAGTAATTTCTTTTAAGACACTTTTAGCACTCACAATTTTCTTTTTGATTAAAAAAAGGTTCTAATTATCCAGAAGGAATTTGACATAAAGACTTTAAGACAAGAACAATATAAATAAAAAACATTGACTGAAGCTATGAGTGATCAAAAATCCGACAGAAGAAAACTGCAAACTTTTTAACTACCAGAAGACTGTGTGAAAATTCCTAATTAGTAGAAAGAAATCTTACTGCAATGTTTACAAAAGTAATTCACATGTAATATCATCACATACTGAAATAAATAACTTATACACAACTAAAGCTACCACTGTTTGAATCAAAACATTATCGTCTACTAAATTAGAAAACTTTAAATACTTGAAAACAATAAAACAAAAATAACATTCAAACATTTCATTCATTTATAAATTGTATAAAAGTAATAAAAAGCGATATGACTTGTCATTACTACATTTGATATTCAAGTGTTAACATGACTTAATTTCCACTGTAGCCTCAAGCTTATTTGAGTTAAATTTTATTTCATTTTCATGTCTTATGGTGTATAACACCATGTGAATTCTTAATTCAAACTTCTTTCTTTATATTGTAAAGGATACCTGATGATGTAATGAACATAATTACAAAACATTGTAAATGTTTATCTTAAAAATTGTAAAATATAGAGGATATGGTTTTTATTACTAATATCCATAATACTGACAATCAGAAAGTGGATTTTTCTATCAGCAATTTCTACAAGCAATTGGATAAAAGGCCTGAACTTTGGGCCTAAATCTGTGAAATAATTACCAATCTTGAAATTGACATTTATAACTTCAACATTTCCAACATAGGTTCAATAATTACAAATATTTTATATAAGTAACTAGACAAAAATTCCTATATACTAAAATTAAGCTATTAACAGAGATGTGCAAAATTATTAATGATCTTGAAACTGACTAGCATTCAATAAGATACTTGATGTATCTTGTGTTCAACAACAAAATATTAAATACTTTGTTTAACACTGTAAACAAATGGGTTTTTAACCTTTAAACTTTTAAATGTTTCTAAGAATTAATTTTTAAAAGTTATGATATGTAAGATTAAAGTTCAATCTGAAAGGACTTGTAGGGTCCTAATTTATACATTAATTCATTTAAAAATGAATGAATTGAGCAGTAGTGATGCCTCCCATTTGATTACTAAATAAAAAAATAATACGAGACCCTCAAGAGTAAATATATTTTATTTACTCCCAAAATTACCATTCTAGAGCCCTATTGAAATTTTCTGTTAAAGAAAAAAATCTTATCATCATTTGAACACAGACTAGACAAAGCAAATCCATTCTGCTAGCTAGGTCTCTTTTCGACAATAGAGGCTCAGTTAAAGACATCTACAAATTATATTTGCATGATTAAAGAATCAACACACAGCATGTTTTCCTCATTTTTTCATGTTTTGCATTATTTTCAAATTTCAATAATGTTATTCACCAGCACTGAAATGTAATTGAAAGCAACTTACTGGTTCTCAGCATCCTCTGGTGGACCCAACAACAAAGTCTCTTGGGGCACATTTTCATCCAGAACAATTTCTGGATCTGCAAAATTCAATATTTTTGTTGATTTATCTTGAACTTGCAAACACTCACCAACATCAGAAAGATTATTGGGCTTATGACAGTTATGTTCAGGCCTGTCTGTTATAAAGACATCCTCATCTTTCCCTGATTCATCACTTTCATGGTCAGGAGCATAGTTCAATACATTTGGCTTAATTAATGCCACTGGTTGCACATTCTCTGCACTAAATGTTATTGGATCTTTTGTCAAAGCAATTGGCTGAGCATCGGTGAACACAAGAGTATGGGTTTTATCTGAATCCACATTGTTTGGATCAGATGAATATGTTAATTGTTGAGTCTTGTTGGCCAAGGAACTATCTTGTTGATCAGGAGAATAAGTAAATGTTTTTGAAACTACTATAGGTTGAGGTTCACTTGCATAAGTTATTGCACTAGTTTTCGCCACAACTGGACCTTGAGGATCTGCTGAATATGCAAGAGTGTATGTTTTGGCTCCATCAATAGGTGGCTGTTCGACAGTGTAAGCCAAAGTAGGGGTCTTTGTGTCAGTTGGTACAGTGGCAGGAAAGCTTATAGCATGAGTTTTGTTGGCTTCCACAGCATATGGTTGACTGCCAAGTTTAGTAAGAGAACCATCTTGAGGCTCAACTGTATAAGTAATTGTATGAGCCTTCGCTATGGTTGCCTGCTGAGAATCAGGCAAATCTTTATTGTACTTCAGTTCTACCATAAGAAGAATGTCTTGACATTCTTCTCTTTGTTGATTGTTGAGGTCAGTGTCAACCTAACAGAATAAAGAAATTATTTACAATGGAAGGAAAAGGAAATTAAACATAATGAAATTCATTCTAACATAGTTACACTATCTATAAAGAATGAATTGAATTAAAATTGTTTAAAGATCTTGATTAATTCATTTGCTGCTGCATATAACCTTTTGATCTCATTTTAATATTGGGTTCACCAGATTTCTTCACAAATATTTATCAAATTATATTAATTAATTTATTCTGGGCAAAATTTAACCTGATTTCTTACTGAAATGAATTGTGACATTTTTTTCTAATACTCTATACACATTTAAAGAAGTGCATTAATTGGCCCAGTAAACAGTAATAAGTAGAAAAATAAGAATTATGGTATAATACAAGCTCCTATATTCTCTTCACTCAAATCCGCCTCCTAGGAGTTCAAAACTGTTCAATATAATATTGTAACCATACAATTACTAATTAATACTGTTACCATAGAATAACCATGCAGTTACAATGATTACATTAGTAACCATACCTTGCTTAAAACAATCACACCACCTTCATGTGACACAGTGAGTGTGTTATTGGGAGTTATTTCTGCCTGCTTTGAAGTCTGCTGCATCAATGGAACAACTCCTAGAGTTTGTTCACCCATCTGAGTTCCTTTTGCCTCTTGTTGTTGCTGCTGCTGCTGCTGTTGTTGCTGTTGTTGCTGCTGCTGCTGCTGTTGTTGTTGTTGTTGTTGTTGTTGTTGTTGCTGCTGCTGTTGCTGCTGTTGTTGTTGTTGTTGTTGTTGATGATGCTGCTGTTGTTGATGCTGCTGCTGCTGTTGTTGTTGTTGTTGTTGTTGTTGTTGTTGCTGCTGCTGCTGAAAGAATCAGAAAATTGACACCTTGCACAAATATATACTTTCTAGAGAAAAGCACATTTAATAACAAATTTAAAAAAATGATTTATTTTGTATAATAAGAAGTGAACGATTTTACCATGTATAATTTTATTAATCAACACTATGCTTAGATTTCAGGGCATTTCATGAGACAGAATATATTATTACTCACATAACTGAGATTATTTAGAGTGTGGTATAAATCTATCAACAAAATATTTATGACAAATACCTCAATGGTATTCTGTCCTGCATCAACTGTCTTCAGCCCAGGATATCTAGATTGCAAGACAGAATCAAACTTGAATTCCGAAGCAAGACACATGTCTATCAACTCTGCAGAAACTTCCAATTTTGACACACAATTAAAGCATACTTGCTTTGGTTTGAAATCTTCCTCTCGTACCTACAAAGGTAAAAGATAAGTAATGACTTTTTATCATAATTATAATTATCAACAAAATGTGATAGGATGAACTGAAGGTAGATTAAAAACCAATTCATATTTTCAACCTACAACACGCTTTACTACAAGCATTTACCGTCACTTACGGTAATGGGAAGGCATTTCTTTATTTTCAAGTCAAGTCTGTCTTTTTCTCCATCTTTTCCAAATATCGGAATCACAACATCACTTATATTAGCACACAAACGGCATACATTGAGGGAAAAATTTGGGCTTGTGTCACTCCACATGATTATGGGGGAATAGACCTAAATCTATTTATTGTGAAGATAAACATACTTTTTCGGAAAAGTAACGAAATTAATACATTATCACACTTGAGGGGACACGACTTGTCACAACTCTTCTGTCAAAACATACTTCGTACAGACTTTTCTCATAGTTTACATTATGCGTACTTTACTCTCTGGTACAATTGATCGGCACTGGAAGCAAAGTAAAAAGATGTTAAGAGAACCGGAGAACGATTGTTCTGACGTAGAGTAACCTACAGGAAGTTGTTTTTGGCGGTCTTTATGATTAGAGAACATTAGTTACGCAAGGTTCTGAAGTTTCTGTGTGGAGTAGTTTTAACTACTTGGTACATGCGGTTGATACATACTCCCATGGTGGAAATAACAAATGTTGTTTCCCCCCATGCACAGTACTGATTTTGGAGAGTTGCCTGGACAGTGGCAACCTCAGGGGCTTTGTTCCAACCTCCTTGAGAAGATAATGCACCCCTCAGAAAATTATTTCACATGTGACCTTTGTAAACAAATTAACGTGTTCGTATGATTCCGAAATGTCGTTGGGTCATCAATAGGGATAACCACAAAGGAAATTTATTGCTCACTGAATAGTACTTAATTGCCAATACATTACATTATTGTTATTACTTATGCTACCGTATCCACAGTAATTTAATGAAAGCGACACTTTGCCATTCTGACGAGATAATAATACTATATGGTATAGGTATGTCTGAGGAGGTACGTGAACTGTTGATGGCTCGGATCAGCTAGTAGTCACCCTCTTCCACTTTCACATTGACAACTTTGATAACAACTCGGAGGACCGCCGCGTTTAATGCGACGTGGAAGCGTTTCCTGTAAACGTCTTTAAATACTGAGGGAGTCACTATTACCTTGGGAGAATTCAGAAGGCATGTAGTAATTAAAGAGAAAAGATATAATTAAGAAAAAAGTATACAATTACAATAATAATTACACTAATGTCAGAAAAACGGAATGAATTTAGTAGCCGTGGGCATCTACAGTTGAAAACTGCGTTGATTGCAGTTGACATTGAGGCATTTTAATAGCCGTAGGCATTCACAGTCGAGAATTGTGTTGGTTGCGGTGAACATTGAAACATCAGAATGAATTGGCAATTCCAGTTGAAAACGGTGTTGATTGCACAATACAAATAATATGAGTTCAAGTATGCAATATGGCTTGATACAGTAATGCTGAAATAGAAACATGAACAGAATCACATGCTGTTGCAGCGTAGACTTGTAGAGTGCACACGCGCAGAGTATGTGCCATAAAGACTTGCGGAATGTACACGCACAAGCCACATGTGATGATCGCCCCGGAGAAGAATGTGGCTACATTCTTGCATGGCATACACTGTAGTAACCAGCAGCTTGGCTTTACCATGCTTGATTACTGGTAATTGCAAAAGTTACATTGAATGCCGCGGAGGCAGACATTGTGGCACAATTCGTATGTGCGTTGTTAGCACGTGTGTAAGATTATGTTACGTGTGAGTTATTAACTGTTCATGGCGGGGGGCACATTCAGTGTTTATGTTGGTATGAACTCAACACATGATAAATTAGAGTACATTGTGCAATGTATATGCAACACGTGGTTCACTAAGCGCATTAACACAATTGAGTTGTAATGCACGTTCAGTTTATGTTGAAATGATAACTTGAATAAAAGCATATATTAATTGAGAATGTTTGATTGTGAAGCAACGTGTAGCTCACTGCTTCATGAAGGAACAATTGGATACGTAGTTCTTAGAACTTACATGCACATGGTGACATTAGTTCAGCTATACATTATACATACAGTTACACAATATAAAAACACAGTATTGAGAACATCTCACTTCTACATGGCAGCTGGAAGATGATGTGTCCATGAGTTATGCACAATGCATGTATACTCATGACGCCATGAGACTAATTAAGAAAATGTATGTACTGAGTAGCGTGGGGACGCATTCAGAGCTTGGCGATGTGGACGACACGATACTAACGTATTTTTAACGTTCACAGTGGTTTGAGGGGAGACGCTGGGCCGGGCGTCCGTGCGTCCGGCTAGGGAGAGCTCGAAGGCGGCAGCCTAGTTCTCATGCTAGAAATACCTAAGGCAGTACTTGTAGTGAGAGGCAAGCAAATTAATTGCAAGAGGCACGGTCAGGAAGTGGCGACACCTGTGGTCGGTGAAAGAGCTAGTTGAACATATATGAGGTACCCGACCCGTCAGATTCTCTAGAGTGTGCAAATGAGTTATGAAATGAAATAGCTGAGTAATGCAGCGAGTTCTAACACTATTCTATACATGATTTTACAGATCTGAAAGTACAATTTATAATGCTGGTAAGCGAAAGGTCATTCTATAATTACACAGCACGACAATGAAATTTGCCGCAGAACAAAAATATGTGATTTTTGTGTAGTTCAGTGTACTGATGACAGAGGAGAAAACCATTGTTCGCTATCACCTAAACTCTCTTCTGGAAACGCCATTTTATCTACGCTTAGTGGTTTGCTATTTATGTTGCCGCCGCGCTTATCACAATCTTTTATTTTAAGAATATTATAGCCTAATGGTGGGAGTTGAGAGTGGAGGGGAATACAGTTACTTGGGGTAGGTATTACTCGGGCAAATTTCTTGAACGATGGATTAACGATTTCGGGTGGAGTGGGGGTATTAGTTACGAAGTCGGCCACTAGAGTATTTTAAGTAATGCCAACGTCTGTGAAAAAACTGAATCTTGTGACTTTCATTAGCTCCTACGACTGGACTTCACTCAGCCGATTTTCTTTCGATATTGACACTAAATAGAACAGGATTCTGCACTATGAAAGCAACTGGCTTTGACTAGCTTCTGTTTCGCGCCAAAGAAGTTTTTAATGCTTGGAAGGTTGTCACTCAGTGCCCGCTGCCGAGCTTTACTGTTTATTGCACAAGGGAGGGGGATCAAGGTCATCGTTCAAGAAATGTTGCGCGAGTAATATAGGAAAATTGCAATTACATTTGTCAATCGATATTGAGATCACACAGTATTCTTGAAGTGTCTACATCCGCTTACGTGGATATATTGTTTGTGCACGTTCATGTGTTTCTTATACTCAGCGATGTCTAGGAAGCGTGTTAATTCACTATATCTTTCTGTGCGTTATATTATGTGCGACGAATTTACCACTAAGTTTCAAATACGTCCCATTTCTTCGATCGTCGAAAAGGCATACGAGTATATTTTTAATCAAAGGTAGATGCGGGTAAGTGTTGGGCACCACAAAACAGTTGTTCACGTTGCTCCCGCTATATAAGAGGCGGTTGCATGGTACCACCCATCTATGCCATTTGCCATACCACAGTTGTGGAGGCGCAATGCGCTCAGTTCCGCATTCTTTTTCATTCAGTTTCTCACGTCCTTTCTCTGTCTGTCACGTCCGCACTTTAACTCAGTGTCATTCATTATAGAACCCCCCTCCAGAGAGTTCGGGGACACTTTCACTTAACATTGGGGAGAGAACTGGGACCGCTATGATGTCAATGACCTCTCTGAGACTGTCCTTCCCCTGACCTCTCCGGAGAATTCTTCATTTGAACCCTCCTGAGAGTTCTGGGACACTCCCTTCAAAATTAACATTGCGGAGAGAACTGGGACCGCCCTCTTGGGGACTTTCCCTTTCTTACGTCATCATTTAACATTGCTGAGTTCTGGGACCGCCCTCCGGAGAGTTCTGGGACGTTCCACTTCTTACGTCATACTACCTTTAACATTGCTGAGAGTTCTGGGACCGCTCTAACACCATTAAAATGCTTATTATGGGGGTCCCTGTTCTCTCAGAACTCTCCTACTTCGGCACATCACTGTAAAAATAGAAGACATCAAATCACAAATATTTTTTTAAGTTTGCGCTTTATTTGCTTCGTATTACAATAACATTCACTTTCAGGCTTTATGCTAACTACAATAACATTTTAATAGCTTCCATTCTTACTACAAGAAACAACGCATGAAGTAATGTGTATTTAAAGTTTCTCAATTCGGTCTAACATATTGTCATTCCGTTTTTAAATGACTGGTTCTTGATCGTGGAACACAGAGTAAGAGGATTTATATTACGCGCGGCCCGCGCCCACCCGGCCGTAAGCAGCACCAGACGGAATACTAGAATACCCTGTTTCTTCGGAGGGCGCCGCTTTGACTGTTTTGACTGGTGAAATTTCTTGTAGAACGGTCCACCTGTAAAATATTTCCTGACCATCTTTTCTCATATCGACTTTCCATAGCATGATTATCTTGGTAAAATCGCACACCATGTTCGTCACTCCCATCTTCAAAATTAGGTAGAAAGAAATACAAATGGTTATAAAGGAAATGTAATTTCAGAGATATGTTGCCCCCCATAGACTTGTAACAGTCCAGCACATGTTCCGTCAATTACATGTGATTCTCAGACATTACGTTTCCAAAGAAATTGTTACATACATTATTCAATGCAAGCAAAGGTGTCTTCTCAGTATCTACTTGCCGAACATACTAAAGGCATTGTGCATATTATTATTCTAACCACTAATATAATTTAAATACAGATAAACGAAAAGAGAATATATAAGATTTGATACAAACAACACGCCACCATCATGCACCTCTCATGTTTTTACTGCAAAAAGAAAATGTCGGCAACGAGTGTCGACCAAGAGCGCTGAAACCATAGGGATATCCACTATGTATTATATTCTCGCTTGTTGGTCAAAACGCAGTTCATAATTACGATACTAGACAAAAAAGAAATCTACTGCCCCTTATACTGACACTACACTTTTCCAAAAATGTGTCTTAGAAGAAGCTATGCTTATATATAAATAAGACATTTGAAAGCTGACAAATCGAGTTAATTTTAAAAAATATTTCAATTTCTTTGTTTTTAATTGTCTCATAATTATAAACCGTAATAGACATTAGGAATTTAATTGTACTATATACGCAAACTCTCGAAAGTATATAAAAAAACCTAGTTTATTTATTTACGTCAAAACAGTTAAAACTGTGTGTGACGTGCTATTGGATAAGTTAATTTAATAAGTTACATTTAGTCCAGAAGCAAACAAGGGCCATCTCAGCATTTGCTACGGATCAGGGAAACTGGTCAAAAACCTGATCGAGATGGGGTCATTGACCAGAAGCTGAAGTACAATACTTGTTACAGGTTCTTTACAATTATACATCCAAATGGTATATCATAATACATAATGTCATTGTAAAATTAATAATAACTTTCCCTTTGAATGCTCGGTATAGTCTCTAATTGTATAGAACAGTTGTACAGCAGAAAAGATTTTCCTTGGGACTTAAATTTTTGAATCGATTCTAATATGTAAAATGAATGTAGCATTCGTTTTGGTTTGTAAATAAATCTTTGTTACTTTTTTGCATATGTAGTACAAAGGAAGTTATGTAATGCTTCAACGAAAATGGCAATTTTTTGGACAGAAAAATTCATATTATAAGTCCAGATACCAAAAACGTTGATAAATCGTTTCCCTGTGTAGCCAAAACAACATTCTGTGGGTTCTTGATACCCCTAACATTTTTTTTTTCGGCCAGGGCCAAATGTACGCTTCCGTGGGCCTTAGAGCGGTCTTGGTGTGGGGGCTAATTTATAATTAGACGTGAATATTTTTGAAAAAAGAAATAGGCTATCCAATTTTTAAATAAAAAAATCTGCGATCATCTCTGAACAAAATTATGTATCGTTTTTGTATGCAACATTTCAGAATGTTTATTTACAAGCAATTTTTAAAATTTTGTATCAAGCGGCCACAGCCCTTTTAAATGACAAATTGTGTCATTTGTCAGTATTATTAAACAAAAATTTGTTATGTCCTCCTGCCCCATACTCACAATCTTTTGCTTCCTGAAAAACTCGGCCACCAAGCCCTGCTTCAAAGTATCGTACAATTCCAGAGTGAGATATTCGATTCTATGCTCTGCTCCCTTAACATATTGGAGCATCTTTGCTTGCCAGCAACAATGTTCTCTTTTGAGCCTCTTCGATTGTACTGTAGCATAGTATGTGTTGTTCCGAAACGGTTAAGGTATTCTACACAATCTTTTTCTTCTGTGTTGAATCACGCAAACAGTGGCAGTGGGCAAGCGGCTTGCAAACACCCCAGATTGTTGCAACCATTGCAATATTTCTCTGTTCTGCTTCCAACACTGCCAAAACGTGTGCAAACTGTTCAGCATTCATTTGCTTTGCACTGTCTCTTTGTCACTGATTTTTCTTGAAACATTTTTCCTTGCCACTGAAAATGAAGGTACAACTGCTTTGCTCATTAATCCTGTTAGTGTAGTGAATGATTTTTATGACCGGAGGTAAATGTTCCTTGCTACTGGATGGAGAGATTGGCACAAACAAGTTGCCCTGCAAGGGTATACCCCTCCAGGAACCTTCTCCAGTAGGCCACCAGCTGGGACACGCTCCAAGCCCCCAACTGGTCTCCATACAAGTGTAGTAGTGTAATGCACGTAAGTGTGTAATGGGAGAGGGTAAGGCAAGAGAAAGAATAAAAGAACATGCATAATCCTTAGCCCTTTTGCCTGGTATTAATCTGGAAAAACTGATTAGGGCAGCTAGTTGCTAGAATTCTCCAACGAGCAGCTATCTAGCTAGTGTTGAATATCTGCTACCTTCAGGACTCAAACTCTAGGATCTCTTTGTCAGAGTTGCTGCAGTGCCAACAGCAATTGCTGGTAGTGAGCTAACTCAGCCAGTTTTTTCAAGTTTAGAAAAGCATTCCTAATCACATTTGATCAGGTCTTGAAAGTAAAGAGACATACTGTTAAAAATAAAGGATTTTATGTAATTTACAAAAAAGGGATCTCACAGGAATGTAGGTAGAATACTCTACCACTTACATTTTTAAGATGTAAAACACAATTGCAACAAAAAATATTCTCATTTTATTTTATTAAGTTTGAGTGTATTATTTACAGTTTGTGTATTGAGGAAGATAGTATAATAAAATATTTTACACAACATTCCACAGCAGGAAAAATCATATTTATTGTACAGATGTTTTATATTCCAAATAAAGAATTGGAAAGAAGAAAAAATACTACAAATTCTCATGCCTGTTATTGCCAATTATAATTTCTTCCTTGATAGTGCACAGTAAAAAGTTTCAAGTGATTTTTATTTCATTCTTAATTATTATAATTTTTCATCAATGTTACCTAACATTAAACATGTAACACAAGTACTGGTAAAAATTATTCTTATAAAAAACTGGAAAAGAATATTCCTGAGCTTCATTATAGGTTTTCGAAACTGCTGTTCCATCTTGCTGCATATTTTACGACTCCAATTTCATTTACACTCATTGCATGAAGAGAAGATGCAAATAATGTCTCATCAAAAGGAAAGAATTGAAAATATATAAAACTGAGTTTTAAAATGTTGAAAACTATAGTTTTAAATCATGAACTCAAAAAATGAACCGATTTAAATTAAAAGTCGAAGATTTTTCCAATACGTGATATTAAAATTAAAAGTAGTAAATTTAGCATTCTGACACACATTTTTGTTTCTCCAATGCATTAATCCACTTCCTAAAAACAGACTAAGAAGACAAAGCATTTCTCTTAACAGTCTCAGCTACATTCGTGGATACTAGCAAGTTGAAAAATAGGTTTTGTTGGTGAAATACACGAGCAAGTAGTTTCAATAACTCAATTTGATTTTTGCCACATCATTGAAATCTAAGTTCAAGAACTAGCAAACAACAGTTCTTCGAACATCAAAGGACAAAAATCTTTTGATCTTTTTTGAAGTCTTCAATAATAACTTGCTTAAATTTGTTACTTTTCCTAACAAATGGAATGTTGTACATATGTCAAAGGATTATTCATTTTCATACTAATTCTTACACCACACATTACAAACTAAATTGCAACTCAAGTGAAAATACTTCATTGAAGACAATGGTCATTGGCAATACACAAAATATTTTGTTTGTCATATCAGTTCAAATAATTGTAGTTATTTTTGAATGAACTACAATACAAGTCAACCAAAGAATTACACAACTTTGTATCTCGCCTTGTTCATCAGGTGATGAGCAGAACTCTGCAACTTGAGCAACTCTTCCTTAATTAGTCGAGTAATTTCAATCTTGGCCTTTGATACAGCAAGTTCATTGGTGCTCTCAATCGCGAGGTACAATTTCCGCTCCCCTTCAGGCACTTGCTTGCCAGTAGGATAGAATGTACCACGCACAGTAATGCCAGCTTCAGAGTATTCACTGATCTGAGCAAGTGCCTCCTAGAACACAAAATAGACATTGCATTTTGCAGATTTAGTTAACCCTGTTGAAAATTCTGAAATTTATATCTACTATACGTCCGTTGCCATTGACCCAGAACTGCTTGCGAAATGGGGTATAATTTTTGGCAGATCCTATGCAGATACAGAAAAACTTGATTGATACATTTTGCACTCGCAGATTTTTCAGGTTTGTGTGTTCTGGTTTATTAGACCCAGCTAAATTTCTATTAATCCCATGTTAAATTATTTCATTACAAAACGTGCATTGGTGATCGGCAGAAAGGTTTTAGAAGACTTTAATACCAGATAATCATTAAGTAGGCAGCTATGGGTTCAGGCAAACGATAAGGAGAACGAGGTCCAACGAAGTGGGGTTATAGGCTGTGGTAGCCAATGTGTTAACCCTTTGACTGCCATGAGCTTGCCTGAACATTTGGTGAGAACCGTGCTCCATGTGCTATGAAAGTGTTTATGAATCCAGGACTGGCAGTGTCCCTGTGCTATGGACATTCTCGCTAATATTTGGTTTCTTTCAGCAGGACAGCGAGTTATGCCTCTGTTATGACATCTGGGTTCACTTTAAGAAGACTTAAGATTTCCTTTCATTGCAAATAGAAGGAGCTAGAGTGATTTTTCCTGTCTGGACAGTTTTGGTTACTGACAGTACCATTCAATACCACACAGTGTGTGCAATGTGCTCAACACAGCAGGCCACACACCCAGCAGACAAGTAAGCATAGAGGACAGGCCACCAGTAATCAATAATAAACAGCCAAAGTGTTAAGGTATTCTTTAAGTCAATTTAAACAGTATCCCAATTTACATTCAAGGGCATTTTAAAATTCCTCTCCCACCTTCCTGGATCCATATGGCCATTGGACACAACTCAAATGCATAATTCTAAATGTATGAAATGGAAATGCTTCATGGAAAGATTTCAGGCAAACTACACAGCCTCGAAGTCACTAGGTCATTTGAATAACAAAGTATGTATTAAGTTTTACATACAAAACCAGATTGTACGGGAAATTTCTTTTTACATTCAACGCAGAAATAAAAATCACCAACATTCTTGATACGTTAACAATCAGCTCTATTTACATTTTTTACTTGAATGTTGAAGGTAGATGGAAAAAGGGCCTTGTTTATTCACTTTGATTTTTTAAATGCTTTCCTATACTAGCTTGTGAAAGACGTAAGAGCTCACCTTGGAAGTGACCCGCCAGCGAGCCTGTTGAGGAAAGTCATTGATCTCCAGTTCCTCCTCATACTTCCTGAAGGTCTCCACAGGCTCCTCTTCGGCACGCTCATCCTCCTCCTTGGGCTGGTAGTTCAACTTTGTATTCAGCTTTGCTGCAAGCTGCTCTGCTACGGTCTTTGCCTGCAAAAAAAAAAAACAAGATTGAAATAATTAGTTGTTCAAACTTCAAGCATGAACAAGTGATATTTTAAGCACCTAAAACAGATAACAAAACAATTAACAGTGGCAGTATTTTGGAAAAAACAAGAGAGAAATACACACACACACACATCTGAATTGTCTTCAAATTATAATCACTTCTTGGAAAAATTCGTTTGAGAAGTATGAAACACAGAGTGTCACTCATGATGGTTACTGTCAAGTTGAAGCACTTACAGTGATAAGTGGCTGAGAGCCTGCGCCCTTCAAGATGGCCTCAGCTGCCTGCTGAGTTGCACCCTTTGCCTCCACCCCCAGATTCTTGGCCATGTTGATGCGTGAGGCAAGCCGCCTGGCCAGTTCAAGCTTATCTGTAGAAGGACCCAGTCCAGGTGGCAACACTGTAACACATGTCAAGGTAGAGTCAATGCACTTTCTATTCAGTTATTTAACATGTTTCTTAAAGCCTTATTCGTCATCTTCAGTTGAACAACTTCCTCATAAGTGTTCTCACATTTTAAGTGGCAGAGTCCGAAAATAGTTCTCTCACCAGAGGAAAAAGAAAAGAAACAGGGCATCACAAAACAAATATAAATAAACAAAAACACATTGTGTAGGGACATTAAGTTACGAAGGTGTGGAACCCCAATCCACCACCATGAATCCAATTTCATGAAATCGTTTGCTTTTTGAAGAACATATGAGCAAATAACAGTAGAACAGAGAAACTACTTCAGAAAAATTTTGATATTACTCTAATATTCCAACAAATGTGTCAAAACATTACCACAGTACTAGCACAAGCTTTTGTTATTCAAATGGAAACTTATCAAACCAACATCTAAAAGAAATTGCATAATTAAAAATAAACTACTTGAGAAAGGAAAGTGGGTAATACAATTCCAATACATGATATGCAGCAGATCTCTGCTATTAGTACAAACTCCTAAGGTCCAGGAAAAAACTCAGGCATACCCCTCTTGGATTCCTATCCCCCATGATCCTTTTTGTTTGAAAATATTTCCAAGATACCAAACTTTTTCAAATTCTGATGATGCTTCTTATTTCAATACTGCAAATTACAATTGCACACAATCTGTATGAAAAGAAGTGTTTTAAATGAACAACTTCAAAACACCCTTTTCTTCTCAGGTACACTACATCTTACACACTTAATTTTTGGTCTACAAACAAAAAAGAAGTGTAAGCTTCATTCACTCTGAGCTCATTTGTTCACTGCAGATCTAGATCAGATTTCCTTTATAACTCAAATTTATTGCACACACTCATGGCTTTTCCTCTTTAATGAAGCAAATTCCAAGCCGAAACAACCTTGTTCTTCTGCAACTAGCAAGCACCAATTCCCCCCATTGCTCAAGCCAGTTTACCAATTAAAGCAATTATACCTCCACCTGAGGCTCCAGGACCAATGTTGCCGATGGGTGCCTTAATTTCTTTCACAATCCTCTTGGGAGCCAGCATGTTCTCGATCTGCTGGTCAATATCGTGCTCCAGGTCCTCGTCGTCTGAATCCTGAAGGCCTAAAAAAATCACATCAACACTTCAGTTGACCTTTAAGTATCAATGGGTGAGTACATTCATTGACAGAACAAGCAACGAAGAAATAATGTATTGAGTAATAAGGGATGGCTTCAAATAAGTAGTCTCTAATAGTTCGTATTTAACATTCTCCTCCTTAAAGGCAGAATGTATACTCTGTAAGTGATCAGAAATGTGAGTCGTCGTTGGCTTCAAATGATTTATATGTGTCTGGGTACGAAGGTCGTTCCAAATTACTAGTACTGCAAAGGGGACAAAATGTAGTTCATGATATAACAATTAGTGTCAAAAATAAAATATTGCTAAATGATGAGCAAACCTGAATAAGCAATCATTTGAAAACAAAATATATTGAAGGAAAAAGTATAATAAAATAATCATCTGAGTCAACCCTACTGAATTTTACTTCAGCAATTTACACAATTTCCAATAGTTGGTCATTGGTCACTTCCAATCACCAACCAATTACTAGTCATACATATTTGTAGTAAAGTTTGAATAAAAATAGGTAAATTATTTAGAAAAAGAATTTAGCAGTACTGTTGTTTGACCATAAAGGTAATGCCACAAAGGGACACGAGTTAAACCAGCTAAAAAGAGGTCAAATGAGATTTAGTAACACATAACGGACAGTGGACACCTCTTTTAGTAACGAACAGGCACCCATTTGACTCCTTATTTCACAAAGATGACTTGAATTAAAACAAGAGACTTGCAGAATACTTATTTTAACTCTGGAGCCACCACAGATACATCCTGAATGCACAAAATACAATAATATTTTATCTTATTATGAGAATGACAATGGTTACATATGTACCTAAAGCAGCTTTCTGGAACTTCTTTTTCTCGTTGGCTATCTGGGCTTCTGCTTCATCAAATTTGAAGCCTTTCCCGCTGAAACCCCCTCCAGTGTGAACCTTCTTGCCCTCCTGAAATAGAGTTAAACATCTCTTATTCTTTACTGCTTAACCTACAATTACATACATATATCCTATTACAGATAAATCACAGAAAGCAACTTCATGATAAAAATATCTATTATGCAATGGGTTCTACATGGAACTGTGGTTTGAGTAGTTGAATAATCAGATTTTGTTCATTTTGGGCAATAGCTTTGACTATAAGTTGAAGTATTTTAATCTTTCACCAATGGTTCATGTTTAAGTTCATGAGAAACCCTTACTGAATATTATTTGAAATAATTCTATATGGCTAAATTCAATTTGGGGGAATTGATACCTTGTGGATAACTTTGGAAGAGTCAATGAATGTTAGCTATGACATTACAGAACTATTTATTTAAAGACAATTTATTCTTCATTTTCATGTAGCAAGAAAATAGAAGTATAAATTGTCTGTAAATAATTGGCTCAAAAGGTTAATTATTAAACAAAGACATAATCCAATTTGGAATGACACGACAGAATGTGAAAATATGGCATATGAGCAACTTATATTCATTACCAGTGTGTCTTGTAGTTATCTGTATCACTCAAGCATTGTTTTGAAATTCTTTGCTTTTATTTACAGACAACTACTTTGCGGGTAGCCTGTAATGGAGAGTACTTCAAATTGTGATACTAAAAACATAAGTATGTTGATTTTGAAAATATGATTCTCAAAATTTTTGTAGTGATCCACCCTTTTCTCCCATACTTTTCTCGAAGTATGGGAGAAACAAGCATTACAACAGAAAGACTATTAAGGAAGTACAATGTTACTCCTCTATTACACAATTTGTGTTAATATCATGCCTTTGTCAATCCTAAAAACGTGGAAATTTCATTAGACAATATGAAGGAGATGTTCATCATAACTTTTGGAAAAACTCTATCATCTCTAGAAGCTCCTGTTGATCTTGGATTTAGTAGCAGCTTTTCATTGATCTCAAGAGTTCCAGGTTTAAAAATGAATTAATGTTTAATGAATTAATGTTTAAAAATGAATGAATTAAAACAATCAACATAATACAGATATTGCATTCTTATCCTCATATCCACAAGACACAATATTCTCAATAAACACTAATTACTACACTGAATTTGACATTAATATGACATAATGATCATGATGATGACATAATGAGTATTTTATGCTAATCACATTCAATAAAGTACAAAAGCAATGATACCAACTTAGATTGAAAAATTTGAAAACAATACTCACAGCAGCTTGTTTAGCCTTGTACCTATCCCACAGTATTCTTAAAGGCTCAGGCACAGGAACTACAGCAAGTTCAAAAGCTCGCACTATATCCCCTGCATATCGCTCTTGTTCTGGTGTGAGAAAGGTGTAAGCATAACCTTTGTTTCCAGCTCTGCGACACAGAACAGTATTTTTTACAATAAAAATTTTTGAAAATACTCTCTCATATTCTTTTAACTTCATTCACAAACTCATGTTACCCAGCTATTTTGAATTGAATTTAATTGAATTCTTTATTTTACGTGGCGAGATTCGGGCCGTCAGGCCCACTCTTCCGTCTGCCTACACGAATTTTGCTACGCTCCTTTCAACCTCTAGCGAAGAAAGGAGGCATTTCTTGGGCGCCGAACCAGGCGATTTGAATTTAGCTCAGAGGTGTCATTTAGGCTTGAAGATCTTTTACATGCAAGTAAATCTACTAATACAGTATTTACCCCAATATCGGTACACATTTGTTTAATTATGAAAAAGAACTCCACAGAAAATTTCTTGACAACAATGTCAACAATAACTTTTCAATGACAGCCACTTTTTACTACTGTCTAGGTTAAAGAAGTTTGGCCATTGTTGGACAAAGACGGCGCTGAGTCAATGTCCATGGCAAATCATGTCAATGACAACAAGTTCATATAGTTTAGAGAAAACCATCAACAATTCCCACATAAGTTACTTCAATACACAATACTTATTTATGTGAAGTCCAAATTTAAATTAGAATGTTTTATGTTTTCACTACAGGTTCTGAGTTCTATTTAAAGTTCACTATTCATATATTTTCTCATGTAGTAGCATTGGTACTTGTCTCATATTTTGAAATTTTTAAAAATGGCAAGATTTTGATATTTTTTTTTGTTGAAAATTTACTCTAATTAGTCAACCTTCAGAAAGTTATAAAATTAAAATTTTCACAATCTTACTATTACTGTAACTTACAATGTAATAGATAATCTCCACATCAGGGAGCTTTTACATGGTGAAGCTTTACAACAATTGACCACATTATCGATCTTCTGGGCACATGCATAGTTCATGTTTCGGACCACTTTTCTACATCTATGCAGACACAAAATATCAAGAGAGCAGTTTCATACAGTAAGCTCTACCATGTAAAATCTCCCTATTATTTCTGATGATAAACATTAATGCCAAACACACCCAACAATATTTTAACATGCTTATGTAAACAAGGAGCAAGTTTGCTTAGTTGGGCAAATCTACATTACAAGTTTTGAACATGTGCAATTATTACAAACAACTATGCAGTCCCTGGCCTTGTGAAAGGAAATAGATTTTGTTACATACCCAGGTACTTGGGAAAAATCCCCAAACAATGAAATGCTTCTCATATTGACTAAAAAATACAAAAAATTGATAGTATTCCTCTGCTTCTCATACTCAGTGCATCGCTACTTATAACACAACTAATGTCAAGCTATGCAAGGCTCCATGGAAGAGGTTGCCTGCAATTTCATGTTTGCCAATACTGTGTTATTGCAGTATACATAAAGAAGTTTTGTTAAAATATTTAATTTATTACTGTGTTAAAGAGATTATTTTATTTGTTGTTCCGAGTAGTGTGCATGTTACATTTTGTGAGGTTTTGTTTAGAGCCTTTTTACTGCTGCAAGCAACTACTCTTTTATTATTATAGACAATACCAACCTGCCTGTCCTCCCACAACGATGCACATAGTCCTCATAATGGTTAGGACAGTCGTAATTCACCACTAGAATCAACTGCTTCACATCAAGTCCTCTTGCTGCAACAGACGTGGCCACCAACAGTTTCACTTTGCCCGACTTAAAGTCCACAATGGTGCTATCACGATCAAACTGGTCTATTCCACCGTGCAAGGACATGCAGGGATAAGATGCTTTCATAAGGTCTTTGAGGAGGCTGTCTGCGTTCTCCTGCTTGTCCACAAACACTATGACGCTGCCTTGACTCTGGAAATGGCCCAGGAGCTCTAGCAGTTTCAAAAACTTCTGCTCCTCCTCGATGATCACCACATGCTGCTCCACTTCTTTGCACACCACACTGCGGCCCCCAATCTGCATCAACACACATTTACTTGCTTCAATAACAGAGAATCATTAAAGAGGGCCAGTCATTTTGGACATAAAAACATCAATTCTTTTCTGTATAAATTCTCGGCTATCCGGGAGACGCTGCTTTGTTGGCTGGGGTGCCGACGTTTCGCCTGACATGTCGCAGGCTTCCTCAGGGCAGTGAGGAAGCCTGCCCCGAGGAACTCACTGCCCTGAGGAAGCCTGCGACATGCCAGGCGAAACGTCAGCACCCCAGCCAACAACGCGGCGTCTCCCGGATAACCGAGAATTCATGGATTCGAGCCGCGGAAGCTTACGTATACATCTTTTCTGTATACCCTTGATTAGAACATACTTATTGAAATTAAATATACGTTTTGCTAGATTATCCAATCAATGATGTAAAGTTAAGAAATGACATTATATAAGATCTTCAAATTTCATGAAGACTGTAACGATTTGATACACTGAACTTTTTTTTTCTTTTCAAACTTCAGAATGAATTAATAATGAAATTGGCCATTTTACGTGCAAGAAACGCTTTGCCTCTTTTTTAGGCGCTTGTCTTGTTCAAGGAGGAATGGACAGGAAATGACAAAGATAATAACAGCAACAAAAACACACAAAAATAAATTTTTTGTGGTACCAGATACACCCCAAAAGTGTAGTTCTGTCAAAATCTTGAGAGCATTTGAAAGAAACTAATAAGGGTTTTAACTGACCTGTACTTCAATAGGTTTTGTTAAAATTCTTCTAGCTAGTGCTTCCATTTGCCTAGGAAATGTTGCACTGAACATGACTGTTTGACGGTCAGGTCTAATGTTTTCAATAATTCTCATAACCTGAAAAATATAAAATTATTTTTTAATTTTAAAGTATATAAATAAATCTGCCTGTAATATTACATAAACACATTTGATACCAACCTGTGGTTCAAAACCCATGTCAAACATTCTGTCAGCTTCGTCCAGAACAACGTACGTAACACGGCGTAAATTTGTCACACGACCTATTTATCAGAAATGAAATAGGCACATTTTAACAAAAAATTAAATTTACCAAAAAACATAACAAACAGTAACAATTCAGTAGCAATCTGTATTGCATCTGATTAACAGATCACAAAAAAAATGTTTATTTAATTCAGAAGAATATATTTGAAATTAAGATTAAGCTATTAACACATTTGATCCTCAGGGATACGTCACATAGGTTAACTCCTGTGTCCTGGGCAATATAACTATTATTTAAAATGTAAAACAAATCCTATAGTGATCAGTTTGAAATTGAGAAAATCTTCTAGTATTGTCTTTTTTCTTTAAGTCTGTATGTAGTTTATGATCATTTAGTTATAAACTACATACATACTATTATAAACTATTACATTATTTTATATTACGATTATAAACTACATACATTATGTGACATTTTTCAAAATTAATGGTTATTTTCTTTAGTCATTAATTTCAAGTTTTTTGTATTTATACAAAATGTTCCTAATAAAATAATAATAATAATAAAAAATAAAAATAAAACAACAACAACACTTTCCTCAATTATATATTCTAAATTCATTTAGAATTCCAACACTATCTATTCCACAAACACATTTCAAATATTATTCGTTATTAATTAATAAGTAAAACAAATAATTATACTACATTTAAAACATAATATATTGATTTAAGGAAAGAAGACCTTTAATAAATTAAAATTTATTTCCTTGACCATAAGTTATTACACAATTCTGTAACCTATTTAAAACAAACTCGCTTAGTCTAATGCTTACCACTGTTGGCAGCCAGAAGATCAATCATTCGACCTGGAGTGCACACTATTACTTCTGCACCACGTTTCAACTCTGCAATCTGTTCCGAGATGCCCGTTCCTCCATACACACACACCGCACGTAGACCAAGGCTCTTTGTGAACTTCTTGCATTCCTTCCCAATCTGCATACACAGTTCTCGGGTTGGGGTCATGATCAGTGCTATTACAAGACAGAAAATCTGCACATGTTAGATAACCTAACAACTCATATGAATTTGCCTGAAACCTACCAGTCTCCAACATTAAAAAAAAAAAGAAGATGTGTGTAAAAAAAAAAAAAATCTTCGGGCATGAGAGTTACCTTAAAAACAGCACAGCTATGGCATTAACATTTCAGCACATGCTGAAATAAACATTAACATTTTATGGTGAGATAAACATTGCATTATACTCATGCAAAACATAAATAAATTATTTATGTTTTCAACAGAACAAACAGCATAGTGTAAGAAAAAATATGTAAAAACAAGGGATATAATAAGAAAGATTTGAAGATCTCTTGCTAACAAAATCATGTGAAGTAATCAGTTCTCACTTATACTAAGATGAACATGCTGGCTGCCGTGAGAAGCATAACGTGATGCTCAATGAATTGATCAGAATGGCTCAATGAATTGAACAGTAAACAGTTGATTAAATTGAATTAATGCCTTATTTTATGTGGTGAGACTTGGGCCATCAGGCCCGCTCTTCCTTCCAACCACGCAAATTTCGCTACGCTCCTTTCACCAACTAGTGGAGAAAGGAGGCATTTCCTGGGCGAATGAATGGACGATTTGAATTTAGCTCAGATGCATCATTTAGGCTTTAAGATCTTTTACATGCAAGTAAATCTACTAACATGGAACAGCCGGCTTTATTTCCCTCCGAAAGAAGGCGTACGACGGATGTTTTCACCCTTAAAAATCCACGGCTTCGATCAGGTTTAAACCCACAACTAGGGGTATAACAGTCCGATATGCTAACCATTACACCATCGCAGCCACCGCGTATATTATCAGTCATGATGAGTTTCAATAGCCGTGAAGAGCAGGGTTTGCTTCTCAAATCAGTGTTACATTAAGGGAGCTTAAAATATAAGAGTGTGACAATTGAATATTTTTTTGGCTTGCAACTAGTAGAATCGAGTGTTGATTCTCATGTCTTGATATATTGTAAAGATCCCATCTCTATGCTACAGACAGATAAAAAGAGCTCGGCCAGAAGGTTAGTCATTTTCTTGTGTATTGTGGCAGTCAATGTGTTAAACAAATGTTTATGTGAAAATTATTTTTGAAGTTCTAATTGAAGAAAAAACTATTCGAGCTACAGAATAGCACAGACATTCTAGTTAGTTTTCTAATTACTTTGGTCTTGACGAGCTTTTTGGACTCGCCTTATATTCCTGTCTGCTGCCATCTATCACCCCCAAAGTACAATTTTTAAAAATTTTCTCAATTTTTTTCATACCTAATAGAAGAACTGAAATATTACTTTATAAATATAAAGAGTAAAGTTTCAAATATTTGGAGCTGCAAGAAAATGCTGTTTAAATGTTACTGTAAATTGGAAATTTGAAGCTCTTTTCATAGAAATCTTTTTGAGTGTTTGAAAAACTTTAATGAAAGTCATTTGAAGCACTTCCACTCTCAAATGCAGTAATGTATACAAATTGCTGGAAATGTGCATATTAAAGATGTGAGAAACATTTTAAAAAAATTACATTTATGTAACTTTTGGAAAAAGAAAATACAGGAAAATTATTTTTTGTCATCTTAAAAAGTGCAATCTGTATGAAAAGTTGTAAGAAAAATTTTGGAGCCATTTTTGACAAAATGGTGTTTGAGCGTATCTGAAAATGGGAATTTTAGCTCATTTTCACAGAAAACTTTTCAGTTTTCAAGAAACAAGACATCATTTGATGAACATGTACCTATAAATTTAATAATCTAATCTAATCTCTGCTAATGTAAATTTAATGATGTGCGAGACAGATAAAAAATTACACTTTTGGAATGTATGGTAATAGATTAGAGCAATATGGCATTTATGTCAAAAGTAGAGTGCACCAATGTAAAAATACGGATTTTTGTTTTGCTCATAATATACAATTTCAGTTATGTCTCCCCCCCCCCTTCAGACCCCTAAAAAAAGTATAAATGAAGTTTTACAGTAATTGTTAGGCAAGGCAGTCCGGTCTGTCCATTCTTTGTTATAACTGCAAGGAAGCACTTGAGATGCAGTAGAAGCCCCCTTTATGTTTTTATCTTCCAGCATTTCATTAACATTCATGTAAAATCATATGTTATCATTATTGGTCACTATACAATTCATTGAAACAACTAGCCCGTAGTGGATATAAGAACTTTAAAACTATTCACGCTTGAGAAGGGTTCGGATTCTGATGACATGTCATCTTTTGATTGGTGCATTCTAGACGTAGCCAATCTGTAAATCAATTTTCATCTGGATGTATAGATAATAAAAATGTATAGTTATTGTGTTATTTTTTGTTGTTTCTTGTCATTTTGCAATTGCTACGTCATTTTTCTGGACTTTCCCTTAATTTTTCTGTTTTTGTTTCTTTTTTGTTAGAGAATGCTTCAAGAATTTACAATGACTCCCTACAACAATGATTTTATAGTATCATCAGTTCAAGACAAAATTAACTATTGCAATGGATTGTTTCTCAAACTCTGAAAAATACATAATCTTCATAATTTCCTCAACCTTTCAAAACCACCAGTTGGATACTGAAGCTAAGGATTACATTTCCTCCTAAAATAAACATGTTAAACATAATTTTATATTAATAAATTTTATTTAAAACTGTAAAATAAGTAAACATTTTCAAATTTTGATTAAAACAAGTCATTTTCCCCTAGTTTTTTGGGTTATTTTTCTCTTATTTTTAAGTCATTTTATAGGTCATTTTAAAAGTATTTTTAGGTCATCAGAATCAGAGCCTTGCTTATGGCACTAAAATGAAATTAATTTTCCAATTGGCCAAAATTAATTTGAAACTGAAAATGAAGTAAAATAAAATAAACTTTAAAAAACTGACAAATGCAATATAATTAATTAACTAGAATTGGATACACCTAGTGTGATGTTTTGCAGGGTTAAAAGAATTGATACATCTTCAATAGACAAAATGATAAAAACTCTAAATAAAAGCCAGTTTTGTAGAAATGTGAAAAACTTTGGATATAACCCATTACAATTATCAAAACTAGTACCTACCAATGGGCCCATCCATGTCTTCAAGAGGAGGTTGGTCAAGGATGTGTCTCAGCATCGGCAACAGGAATGCAAGGGTTTTGCCACTGCCTGTCTTGGCAATACCAATCAGATCACGACCTGGAAACAAGAGAGAGATAGTTCAGCTTGTTTTCATTATAACAGAACAAAATAACACAACTCAACGGAATTATATTACTGGGTCACATCTCAAGAAGTTATAATGGAACGAGTCTCATGAAAAAAGTAAAAAACTAAATGAATGTGGATGGATGAAAGTAAGGATATGTAAATATATATATATATATATAGATATATATATATATATAATATATATATATATATATATATATATATATATATATATATATATATACTATATATATTTATATATATATATATAGAAAGGAATATAATATGTCATATCAAAATAAACTTTTTTATACAATATTTACAAACAAATAAAAGAGTTTTTGAGAAAATCTTGTTTTTGTATTTTGTTTTAATTTGTACATGTTGCACGCAATATTGTGCAAAAACTACTAAAATTTTCAAAAGAGAGTACATGACCTTAATGAAATATGGAGAACACATTTTATTTAAAGGAAAAATCTCTAACTTCAGTTTCCAAATTCTAGGAAGACACCAAAAAAAATTCATACATTTGAAATTTTTAAAAATTCAGAGTTAACAGTGAAAATCGGCCCTATGCCTCGTTTATAAGTGTGTATTACTCTATTCTGACAAGTAATGTAAAGAAGTATTTCCATCGAAATCTTGAAATCAATATTCCGCAGCATGACATAACTTTCCCTATACTACATATATTACTCCGTATATGGGAAAGTAAAATGTACTACAATGATGGAAAAAATGTGTTGAAACTCTCATTTCAAATTAAATTAGTAATTGATAGCAGCTCACCTGACATAATTGCGGGGATAGCTTGAGCTTGAATGGGTGTTGGTTTCTCATAATTCTGTTTTTTCAAGATGTCCAATTCTTTTTTGCTTACCCCACATTGAGCCCATGTTTTCACAGGCTTAGGGCAGCCTTTGCCTTTCACTCGAATTCCTTCTAGTTCCTAGAGAATAAATTAAATATATAAGTCATTTCTATGTACATAATAGTCTTATGTATGAAGTGAAAGAAATTGCAAAATAAATTTCTTTAAAAAAGACTGTAAATAAAACAAAAGAACATTATTTATTTATTTACTTATTTATTTATCAGAATATATGAACAATTTGTCTATTAATACACAAAATTTAGAAATGAAGTACTAAAAGTATGTGCAAATTACTCTGAATCAAAGAATTATATGAATATAAAAAGAAAATAATTAGTAAAGAAATATTCACAACAAACATCTATCCAATAGATATAAAATTATAAAATATTGAATAAAAACCTTATAAAAATTCAATGATTTTTCTCCTAGCATTGAATAAAAACTTGCAGTATTATCATGAAACACACTGACTGATAAAATATTTGTCAGCATACACATGCGGTTTACAGGGTTGTTTGCTGTATATAACCTTCTATAAAATTTTTAAGTCAAAGAGATTGATATTTCTTGAATGAAATGTGACTTATAGATAGACAGACTGTCAGAAAGAAACATACAATTCAAGTCACTTCTCATTAACGTGCACAAAAAGGTCAGATCATTCAGAAAGGGATTTAAGAGAAGTAATATCAAGTCTTGACGTAATGTGTGCATAATTGTGGTCTACGGAAGGATCCTGTAAAGATTGTTAATGATAAAAATGTCATGCTTGACTTAATTTTTACTAATTCAAATGACAACACTGTGGATCATACAAGTGATACTTTTGTTTCTGCTGATGCTTATCACCCACCTCAATGCATTACCTATCTTGTCCCCGTTCTATACGACATTGTTGTCTATGATGATTGGTTTTGAGACTTTGAATCAGTATTTTTGTCTCCATATCACATACCTCGTGGAATTATTGATGAACATCTGGTAGTGATTTTAAGTGTGAAGATTTAACTTCATTTTATTTTTATTTGTACCACTGTATAGTTTCATACCAAAAAAGAGGAAGTCAATATTAAATTTTCCCTCAGTACAGTCCGGTACAGTAAGGAGATCAAAACCTTAATGTTTCATAAAACAGAGGCTCATAAATGCTGTAAAAATATAATCACCTTCGTATTTCTCCCCCTTTTTCTAATTTGAAGCATCAATGTAAGCTTCTAGCCAAAAGGGACTTTGTAAATTATAACAATAAACTACAAAACTTTATGTCATTAAACTCTAGAAATTTCAGGAAGTACATCAACTCAAAAAAAGAGTACCAAAGACTTACTGAAAATAATATCTGAATGCTGAATCACCCGAGGATATCAAGTCGATTGTTAGGACCTTAGCCGAATTCTTTTCTATCTTTCATAGACCTTCCAATAGGAATTTGTCCTATCATTTAGATGATCAAAGTCCGTTTAACATAACTATAGTCAACATCTCAATTTCAGATTTTTTCACAAAAATCAATCATCTTGATGTTTAGAGCACTGAAGGTCCAGATGGAATACTGGCTATTTTTCTAAAGAAATCGTTTCATTTTCCCTCAAATCTTAAAGATATTTTTTGATAGATCATTAAGGGAAGGAACATTCCCCATGGAAGGGAAATCCTCCTGCATACTGTCTAACTTCAAATCAGGATGTGGAAAAGACATCACTATCACCCTATCCCAATTTTAAGTGTAGTGCCGAAGCTGTTTAAATCCATAATCATGGATAAACTGAAACCCTAAATTTCTCCTCATCCTCTCACTATTCAATTTGAAATCATGAGTAAAAAGAATACAGAATTCAATCTGATTTTTTATACTCCTTATACCCCAAATAGCATAGAAAATAAATATCAGGTTGAAGGCATTTACACAGATTTGAACCATTCTTTACTTTTGCAAAACAATAGAAAATTTTCGGCTTTTTCAGTGTTTTATTAAAATGGTTCTCTAATTCCTTACTAATAGAACTCAATTTGTGAAATTGGATATACTATTTCAGAAGGTTTTTCCGATATTATCTGAAGTACCTCAAGGTTCGCATCTGGACCACTGCTTTTTATAATTTTCATAAAAGATTCTTAACATTGTGTGTAAGACATTGAATACTTGCCTTTGTTTGATGGGCTACAAAATTTTATTAAAGAAATTTACAGGTTATGATGACATTGTTAAAAAAAAAAGGTAAGTTAATCGTGATTTAGGCATTATTTTTGATTCCATGATATCCCTAGTGCATCACATTGATTATACGATTAACAAAGCAAAAACTCCTTGGGTTCATTAGAACGTATAACAAGTTAAATAATATTCACACATTGAAAACTTTATAAGCAATATTAGCTAAATCCATTGAAATGTATTCATCAGTAGTTTGGACCCCATTTTTATATATTTATATCAACAAATTAGAAACGGTTCAACATATGATTTTTAAAATTGCAGCAACTTGCCTTAATTTACTACATTTATTTAATGATCGTAAGTAATGATATAATATTAATTTCCATAAATATCCCTTCACTCTCCTCTTTGAGGGAATATAATGATGTAACATATATGCATAAATTAATTAATAACAAAATTGACAGTCCACTATTGTTGGAACAATTGAAGTTTCGAGTTCTCACAGCAACAAGAAGAAAAGATACATCTTCGCTACCTTTATATACTTCTATCTGTACTCATACTCGTCTCATACTCATACATGTCTCATACTCGTATGTGTAAATTAGAAAATTAGAACTATTTCAATATATGGGAACTGATTATCTCAAAATTTGTCAGAGAAGCAAAGAGAAAATTGCTAGTCATTAGTTATATATGTATTCTAATTTTTGTGTGAGTAATTATCTTCTATTCAGGTGTGTATTATTATATTTCATATGTGTATACTGACACACTGTCTACACTGACATAGTAGACTTGAGACTCAACAAGTTCACTAAGATTTTAAAATACAGTGGAATCTCATTACTACATCTTTGAAGGGACTGTAAATTTAGAACATCGTAAGGGGCTAACAAAAAATGCTCAATTTATACTTAATATCCACATTTCTTTCTACAAAACCACCATTACATGGAAAACTAATATATACGTAAATAACACGCAAATATCAATGGGATGAACTAATTTACTCACTAGTGACATTAAATCCAAATTGCAACAAATAAAAAAAGCACTTAAAGTAATGTATACTAACAGAAAAATTTAAATATTTTATTCAGGTTTAAAAAATTGATCAATTGTCGATTTCTTTTCTCTGAACTTCAAAATTGCATTGTCTACAATACTTGCATTGTCCTCGGTTCTATGATAATGTTTCATTTCTCTTCATTGGTAATTTGCTCTGCCCTTCTTTTTTAGCGGCAAATGTACCCCCCGCCCCCAGACACACACACCAGAAAAAAATGGCACTCTGAGCAGTAGCGTAATGAAAATGAGAGTGGGCCTGCACACCAAACTTTTATCCGGGCCCCCTTTACAAAAGTGTATAGCAAACACAAGTAGCGCTAGTACCTTAAATACTAAAAATACCCCAAAAAATAGGCCCTCTTATCTGGGCCCATCTGCATAGCATGCTTCGAGGCCACAAACGTTATGCCACTGGCCTTGTGTCTATCAAATGGAAGAAACACATAACACAGTAACACACAGTGAACATGGCGTATGAGGAATTTGAGGGTACAGCGAAACACTTTTCCCTGGGTCTGGAATCAGATTGAAAGTGAAAACGGTACCCAAAAGTACCAGAGAATGACAAACACTGACGATAGCGCTTGTGCACCAGAAAACATGTGTCTCCCGTAGCAAGTTACCTACAAACTTTGAAGGTGCTAAGTGAGAATGTTGAACATGAACGAATAATTTGGTGGCATTGGTACTGGAACGTGAAAATATGAATGCATTAAGCAGGAAAACATGTTTACCTGATCGTGCTAATGAGATTCCACTGTGTACTGTATTTTCATACATATTATATTCTTCTGCAAAATTGTGTTTTTGCTACTTTAAAAATTAATCTTTTGTTTATTTTGATGTAGTGATATATCTTTTTGATTAAGCTATAATTTAATCAACATTTCATATGTATATGTAAGCATGGTTATTTATATTTTTCCCTTACATTTCTGTATTGGACTGAAGTCAGTTATTAATAAACAAATAAATATTGCAAATTCACCTCTAAATACATTGTGTAGGGCGGCGAATGAAATTGGGCCAGATTTCAATTTAAAATTAGATATCACAGGGTTACAAAACATATTGAAGTTAAAACTTCGGAAGTGTGAACAATGAGTTGTTTACATTTAGATGGTTATTCTGAGTCATTACCAGTATTTTATTTTAATTATTATGCTGAAATTTTGAGATATATTATTTTGTTACAATCTATGCTTGTGAGTTATTGTTTGTAAATTACACTTACTCCAGCAAATTATTTTGTAGTAAATTGTGGACCAATTGTCAGTGAATATTAAATAAACTCCAACTTTTTTGCTGACCGAGCAACAATAACACCGAACAGGCAGAAATAATTTCCAACTATATGTTGAGTGCTGTTTTGCTAATCCTTCATAAAATGCAACATTTAAAATAGCCACTACAATACTGAATTACAATACATCAGGTCAAAACTTGAAACAACATACTACTCACTTCCTTATATGCATCTACTTCTTCTTGGGTCATACGAGCAATTTCTGGAACTTCCACGTAAAAATTTTTTCTGAATGGTGGATACTCCATGTTGGTGTGGTCAACTTTTGCTAATTCTTTCTTCTGCTTATTGGCAAGACCAGCAGCAGTCACATTCAGGTCTTCTTCTTCTTCCTCTGAAGAATACTGCAAATAAAAAAAGGTATTTAAAATGATGAATATGCAACAAACACCTGCTTGACAAGTGTTGTGTTAAACTGGAATACTTTCAAGTTATTTAATAAAATATTGTATGAAATTGAAGTAATATATCATTATCATTATTAATTAAACTCAATAAATGAGCTTGGTCTGACTTGTTTTAGCACTTATTTCTAATTAGAAAATCAATGAACATGCAAAAGAATAAACAACGAATACTGTAAGACAAAATAGTCCTTTTGTATAGGATTATGATAAGTACAGAATCAAAAAAGCAGACATTGCACAAGGGCTTTTTGTTGCCAAAGATCATTAGAACCAGTTAACAGTCATGGTACATGCATATTTTTTTTTTCTTAACTAATTTTAATTATTCATATTTACTTATTAACTAGTTGTTAACATGACTTGGTTTGTCATTTCATAGTTCCCTTTCATAATTCCCTCAGTAAGAGAATATGTAGCAACATTAAACTGTTTTCATATTTCCCTCGCCACCATGATCCTCACGATCCAGGTAAGTTACGCAATGAATACCAAGCTCCTTAGTGAAGGCAATAACAAGCAATAAAGAATCAGTAAAAAATAAATGCAATTGCTACTCCTTCACATACATATATTCACTATCAGACATCAATGACTTCAAATAAAAATATATAAAAATACATGTTTTTACATTGTAATTTTAGATGTTTTCAAATAATTATTTACAACAAAAAATTCAGAAGTTCTAGTTTTGTGATATAATAGCAGGTTCCTTGAGCACTGAAAATACTGTTGAAGTATTATTCTGTCATCATCATTCTAACACCATAGCTTTTATGAAGTGGAACTGTTGTTACTGAACATTAAGTGGCAGAACTATTGTGATTACCTGCAAATGCTGCCTGTGTATGATAGTACAGGTGGTGTTTTGTGTATGTCAACACTCCATACTGTGACATGATGTTTCTTTTAAAATGTGAGACATTCACCAACTTTGCATGTTGAGGTAGATCAGTTGAAATGTTTGTTAACATGACGCCTTATTGTAATTATGTAATTTTAAAGGATTAAATGTTAATTTCACTTTTTCTACTGTGGTATAGATCGTTTTTTGATTAATTAGGTTAATTATAACTTACAGGTCCATATTTTTATTAGGCAATCACCTCTTTGAAATCTAAATCAACATATTATACTGATAAATTAAAGCAGTACAATGAAATCTAAAACATTGTTTTATTGTATTTACACTTTCACTGGTCATAAAATCACATAACCATATATCTTGCCAACAACATTCAATATTAATAATATTTAAAACCTATATACCTATCTATTTTAAGAAATCAATATCCTTTAAAATTTCTCGATAAAGTTAGCTGCAGAAAACTAAGGTAGTTGGAACCCATGTATTGCAATAATGAAAGCGCTTCGACACACATTCGTATTCACAAGAACGCTTGCTAACTGCTGGCCAGCTGCAGGCATACTGGCTTCCATGAGACACTTAAAGGACTTCCATTCAGGACTGCCACCTTTACACAACGAACTCCTGGAGTGTACGTTTTGAACCAACAAACCTAATTTTAAATGAAAATAAATTCTCCAAATATCATAAACAATGCTTTGAATATCATCAATAATTGATTAAACTTGTGTACTTTCAATAACAAGTGAAATTCATAAAATTATGTTACAGCTAGTCAGACGAAGACAGAATATTGGTATACCCAACACTCCCTCCATTGCCATGCAGCATTAGACAGAGCCACTAGTCTGGTTGAGCCACCAAAAGGCCCATGCTCTCTGTGTTAGATCAAAAGGCCAAAGAGTAAGTGCAGTAAACCCAGTAATACAGCAAAGAGCATGGTGCAATTCATGGCAAGTCACCAGACACTGGAGAGAGTGCAAGAAGGACGCTCTTTGGTTTCAAAATGATTTCATATACATCGATATTGCTGCAATATCTTGAATTTTGTATGTCATTAAAATGAAAATGTCTATTTCTAAGATCTTTTCAGACTAACTGGGGGTTGAAGTCGTTGGCTTCCGCGGCCAGAATCGTGTGCGTGATCTTGGCTGTCCAGGAGACGTCACAACCTTTGACACAGCGTCACCCGGACAGCCAAGATTACATATCTGGGGGTTGTGCAACCATGCAACCTAAGCATGAGCCGCCACTGAATACTGGTCATGTACACTGGTCATGTACAAGGTTGTTTTACATTAATCGCATAGGCCAAAGGCGTAATAAAGTGTAAGGCAAACAATAGTTGTAATAAAGTGTAACGCAATACAATATAGGCTCCTCAAGGGTAATAAAGTGTAAGGCATACAAGTGTTGGGCAAAAACGTTTGGTGGAGTAAGTGGTGTCCTGCAGCAATTTGACTATGACAGCAGCGTGTTTGACTTTGATTTTCTAGTGGTTGGTATTGTTACAAATATTATAATGGCTGATTTAACAAATACTCTCACTCTATCTGTATTTCTTGAAGCAATAATTCAAGGGAAATTGCATTGATTATAATAGAACGTCTTAATTAATGGGGTTGGGACAACATAATGATAACTCATTTCAATAACATTTATAAGCCAGAGGAAAAAAGAAATTGTGTTAATTCAGATGTTTCAGAGTTTGAATATATGCATAAGTTGCTTTCTTTACATGTACTGTAGCTCAAAGAACAATTTGTACAGTATTTGTATCACATTGTTTGATATGGGGGGAAATCCAAAGATCTTTGTTTTGAATGTGTGGAATGTAGGTTTGTATTATTGCCCCAACCCCTTCCCAAACATTCTCAAGATGAGCCCAAAATTATATACTTCAAGAGAGCATTTTCTTCATTGTAAAATGTGTCTCTTTTTGACTGACAGGAACCATTTTGGATTTCCTTCATCTTTTACATCCCCTTAGATCCATTACAATTTTCCATTACCTCAAGGCCATCTTGATTCTGCTCAATGAGCTCTCCTTTTCGTTTATCTGCTTTCTTCTTTGCGACTCCAGTCATTATCACTACTCCAGAACCACTATTGTTAGTGGCTGGGGCAGCTCCTGCTTTTGGTTCACCCTTCTTATTGTCCAGTTTGTTCACTCTCCGCACCTCCTCTTGCACACCCTGTGGCAAATGAAATAATCAAATGACAAAAAAATCAAGCAAGAACTCCTTAAATCCTGTAAAAGCAAAAAACTGGTAGTCCTGTCAGGGACACATCAATATTACATAACCAAAGACACCTAATCAGTTAAGAAAACCAGACCATCTGCAAATTTCTCAAGTACAGTAAAACTTCATTTATACGATTTTCAGGGGAGTAAAAGAAAAAAAAAAAGTATAAATAAAGAAAAAGGAATAACTGAAATTGAACATTATGAGCAAAATAAAAACTCAATATTTTTACACTACCGTTTTATTGGAAAAGATATTATCAAAAAAGAAGAAGTTAATAAGCAGTTTAAAAAAATTAGTAATAGAAATAAGTCTGTGTTTAACATTACAATTTACCTATAGGGTGCAGCAGTGCAGAAAATATTTCATGATTAGGTGTTAATCTTAAAATCTCTAAAGTCTTAAAATTAACTCTATATATATATATATATATTATTTTAATTATTTTTATTAATTTTAAAAAAATGTGCAAACATATAGGTTATTCGGAAATTAAATTTATCCACAGTCTCCAGTTCCCTTTCCACAGCAACTGAATTTTTTCAAAGTCCCGCTGCAGGGGGTCTTGTCCCATCAGCTCATTGTTACAAGTTTCATTAATAGGAAGTTTCCTCAGAGACCAAGAGGTCGCTCCACAGGAGCACTCTGGCCGACTCTAGGAAAATTCCCAGCACTCGGGGTAGCTCGCCCCCAATAAAATAATTTAGCATGTAAATTGACGGAATTTGTCAGCAACATGCCAAAAAAACCTAAACATGAAAAACTTATAAGTGCGAAACTTATGGGAGTGTCTCTATATTTAGTATTTTCCTGAAATTTTAACATATAAATCTTCGGTATCAGATAAATACAATCAAAAAAACATCTATTTATGAACTTGCAGAATTTGCTGCATCTTGTTTATGTGCAGGACTCGCTGACATGTGAGGGACATTTAACATCCACTTCTCAAAAACATTACTCAAAAAACATTAAAAATCTATTTATCACCAAATTTTGTAAATACGATTATAACACATTATACCTTATAACTATATTACATATGAATTATAATATGTTTCTCTGTGAAAAAGTCTATTTGTCTTGGAAGTTATCACATTCTCAACAAAAGTGATAACCTGATACTTTTTTATGTTACGAATAGCAATTAAACTGCTCCTTTGGTTTTCCGAAGGATGTCTGTCAGTTTTGAATCACTTGTTACATAGAAAATTTGGGTTTTCAAAACTGGAAGTTACTTCAGCAAAATCTGTTGCTTACTTAAGCCTTATGTTGCCTTCCCCTTGTAGCATTAATTTCTCTCTTCGAAGCTTCACATTGCCATCAATCAGAACTATCATCTGCAATTGTAAAATCCTCCTAAAAACATTTTATTTTTTATTTTCAGCAAAATTTGTAAGCATCTTCACTGAAAATTTATTTTCAAATTCTGATGATAATCCATCACTGATTCTGATGATAATCACTATTTTTGATTTTGGCAGATCATCATTTGTTAGAACGATTTCTTCAAGCCATAAGAAAATGAACACCCAGTATCTTTAGCCTTGGATTCACAGCCGGACATATTGTGTTCTTATAAGAAAGACATTAGATTTCCATTGGAAAACACATCCAGCTACAATAATGTAGTTAATTACCGCACAGATCGGTCCAGATAGACTGGTAAATATCACGTTTAGAAAAAATCCTACATATGGTTTAGATGCTAGTGGTGTTCACAGATGGATGATCATTTTGGTACAAAAACTTTTTCAGTATCGGGGTACCCCATAATGTGTATTTTCGTTGAAATCTATTTTTCCCAGCATTACTTTCTTTATACCATGTGAATTACTTCGTATGTATGCACACATACGAGAATGTAAAAATTAATTTAATATACACACCTGCATAAAGGCATCTAGTGGATCAACTTCTTCCTCCTCTTGTTCCTCTTTGTTCTCCTTATTCTCCTGCTTCTCTTCTTCCTCGTCACTATCATCTTCCAATGTCCACTTCTTCATAGGCAGTTGAAGATTTGCTACGATAACAATACAAATCCTTGTATCAATCTGAACACATAAAAAGCTCCATTTACAATTTTTGTTGTATAAAATAACAGAATCCCAACACACAGTATTACTGACTGAAAGAGAACAATACTAGCTATTGATAGCCTTAAAAAATAGTTCTTAATAATGTAAACTAAAAAAGTCAATAGATAAAAGTGTTTAAAATAACACATACTTTTTTTATATTTGCAAGTTACATAATATCACAATGCTACAATCATAAAAGTCATCATCAAAAAAGTGCTACCGACTCACAAAATATCTGCCTGGGTTAGGCTGTGAATCTGGGTACCTAGGTTCCAAAAGCAATGAATTTAATCAATGCACCAACTGACTAACTTAGTATTCCGACCCACCCAACACATTAAAAAGAAGTTTAACTTTTGCAATTTTTGAAAATTAAGAGGTTTTATGAAAATTGAGCCTATGCGATAGTGTAAAAGAAAAATTGCTCCCTTCAATTAAAAAAATTAAGAAAACATTTGAAGCGATTTGAGAAAATTTTGTTTCCGTATTTTTTTCTTATATTTATCATGATTTCACTCAAATTAAGGGAAATTCACATTTTCAAAACATTGGGCATGACATTATATAAAGATCTAATTTTTATTTCATTAAAAAATTATATATCTTCAATAATGTAGATGTAGGTTGCTGAAAGTTTTTAATTTTGTAATTTTCAAAAATTGAGAGGTTTGACTGAAATGCGACTAACTCCACTAACTTTAAACAGGCATAATTTTGTCTTAAGTCTTCTGTCTCTTTCGTCTTTGAGTTGTAAAAAAAAATTATTGTTTTATTGTGTCCTTTTGAAAAAATTATGAAAAAAATTTAATGAGTTATTGTAAAGTATCCCCAAAACTTAAATTACCAACTATTAAGTCAAAGGGCCATGACAGCCAGGTGAATCACAGAATATCATTATCAAAGAACAGGAAGACACTGCATCAAAGGCCCATAAAATATGGATCCTAAATACACTACATTTTCAAAAAAGTAATTTAGAACAATTTGCTTCACTACATAACCTTTCTGTATATAAAGTAGATGCAAGACACCAAAACCGATAATCTATTATCAAAATGCTCACAGGTCTCCATTCCTGAATAGGCACCAAAAAAAAACTTTCAAATTTTGAGGCTTCCCGATGTTTTCACTGAATCTGGACTGACAAATGAACACCTCGATGGTTGGACACGCCTGATTATAATATTTAAACAGGAAATATGACACAAAGCTGGAAAGAGGTGGTTTCACTTGTTGATAAAAAAATTCTAAAGAGTATCCTTTTATGTACAGACAAAAATCAAAGACTTCGTATTTGTTCAGAAAACAAAACAAAAAAAAACAAAAAACAACAACAACCAACAACAACACCATACAGTAGATTACTTGCACCTCTCAAAATTCACTAATTATGATAATTTTGAAAACCTGACATGAGGAAAACTAAAATGATAATAGTCATAACTTTAAAATGACATAACTTTATAATCATAACCCTCCAAAAACTAACCGAAAAAATTATCAAACAGAATCCTTGATACCTCCTCATTCTAGTTACATGAACCAGACACTTGAAAATGCTATATTATTATCAAATTATTGCAACTTCAATTACCAGTTTCAAATCATTAATATAATCAATAAAAATTAGACATCCAGTTTTGTTAATTGAATGTAATCCAAAAGACCAACTTTATAATCAAACTCCACATTAGGATTTTGCCAAAGCCAATATTTTGGAGAAAACAATGGAACTGAACGATATAGATGTATACAAACTCCATGCTTGTTTTGATCCATATTTGAGGAACACACATCCACGGGAAAAGTGAATTACTACACTTTCAGTATGAACTACCTACCTTGACATCACATTAAAATCAAATTTTCAAAAATATGCACATATGGTTTCACTCTTGAAACACTGATTACAATATGCAGGTGAAGGAATTACAGAAAGTTGTTTCGGAGCTATGTGAATAATAAAACAGGAAATATATTCCCAATTTAACAAAAGGAAATGATACAACAGTCTCTGTAGCCCATGACAAGCGTTAACTTGACAGCAGAGAACTTCAAATCTTGCTATATGCCTAACCCAGGTAATACCTTAAATTCTAACTTATCAGAAAACACTGTGTTCTTTTAGTATACAATAAGCTCAGTGAATCGGAGGACAAATTCAATTGAGGTCCAGATTACATACCTCCCACCCCCTTCTGTGTACCACTATGCATTCTAGTCAATAATTGTATTATCCAAATGCTTTTTCCAGTGCTTTGAGAAATTGTTTCATGTTAAGATTTAAATCTGGTAATGAAAATGTACAAATCAATTAGTACAATGTGAACCAGTTAGTATCATGTGAAGGACTTTATTCAGGAAGACTTAAATTTAAAGTTGTAAATATATTTTATTATATAACACATACTATGATGGAATAAAATTATTTACATACAAAATTGCCAGTTGAAATAAAGTATTACTAGTATCCTGCATAACGCTGTCAAATTGACAGTTTAATCCTAGTTTATTTGAGACTAGATTGAATATCATAGTTAAACCAAGCTAAAAGCTTTGCATCTTTTCATAATGTGTTGATTTTTATTTTAAATGTATTGGACTCACTATATATTATAATTAGCAGCATAAAACAAAGTTGTATTCTAATATTAGGGCTTTTTGACTTGAAACATATGTTTGGTATCTTACCAAGTGTGCCTTTCAGGTCTTTCTTAGTCATTTCCAATTCTTTCTTCTTTCTTTCTGCCCTCCACCTCTCTATCCTTTCTCTCCTCTTCTGCATTTCTGCTTCAAGACGCTTTTGTTCTTCTTCCTTAAAAAGAAAGCATAGCATACAAAACACAATTGGTATTTAGAACACAAATTTTAGTACTTTCATTCTGGTAACATATGCTATCCTTCCTATTTAATGGTATTAGAAAATGTTTTCCTTCTGACCCATAGACAAACAACACCTTAGAAAAACATTTAAACATGTTGATTCACAGAGATGAAACAATTATTAAATTTTCTTCTGACAAACTACAATTTCATCTAGTCTGACACAAATAAAAATAAAAAGTGTAATGTAAATGTAAGATAAAATTATCTTTCATAAAAAGTAATGAAAACATCTCTTTGGCAACTGTTTTCACTGCCATGCAACAAAAATGAATTTTTATTTACCAATAAGTTCTCACAATCCTTTTACGAAAGTAACTTCACTTAATAATTTTATATGGGAAGCAACTTACTTTATCCAAACTTGCAGGATCAAATGCTTCTTCTTCTTTGCCATCTTTTTTATCCTTATCTTTGGAAGGTGATTTTGACTTGGATCTGTCACGGCTGAACTTACTTTTTGATTTGGATGGAGAAGATCTTTTACCATCTCCTCTGAAAGTAAATTTATAAAATGACAATACTATATATCATAAAAAAGCCAGAACAAAGTAAATTCATAGTTCTGATGCATGCACCAACCGTTTCCGATCCCGGCTGTGAGAACGGCGATGTCTTTCGCGATCCCTATCTCTGTCACGAGATCTACTCCTCCTGTACCGAGACGATTTTGTCCTGTGAAACCAAAATAGGGTTACATTATATTTTACCTAACTTATCAATAATGCTAGTGTTCCTAGTGTTATGACTACCTTTCACGACTTCGTGACCGTCTGCTCCTTTTCCGTTCGGTGCTTTGAGATCTACTTCGAGATCTCTTGTCCCTATTGAAGTAAAGAAAATTGTTTTAGTTAACATTAAAAAAATATTGAACAAATCCTTCGAACGGATTTGAAATACCTTTGAACTACACGTATACGTGTAAGATACTCACCTACTTCTCACCATTTTAACAGGTAAAAAAATAACTAATGAAACATTAATAATTAATTAAAAACGAAGAGAGGATAATACTTCCTCGCTTCTTCACTACTTATAATAACAAAACTTTATCATAATCCACACCGCCATTATTCCGTTGTAAAGCCTGACATTGCCTGCCTATATTACTGGAAAGAAAGGCGAATGTATAGATTAGAGAGATTTATCAACGATAATTAAAACTCAAGCCAAGTTTAATGTCTGTCAATGAAAATTACTGGGCGAAAGGGAAATGGGAATTTACAAGCAGTAATCAAAACATCCTATTAGGATTTTGCTAATAATGTTGGCAATACTGCACGACGT